CCCACTGCCCACCCTCGAAACTTTCCCAATTATTTGTAATGTGGCGGCAAGTGTTTCAAGCGATGATCATATAAAAATTGGAATCGTTATAGGTTATATCGAAAACGATATTAACGATAGATACGTTTTCAATTTCATTAACTACTTAAAAAAAAGTGAAAGTCAAAATTGAAAGATCTGTATTTAAAATTGGGCGTAGATTAGTACCTTGGAAGAAACTAATTTGAAAATTGTATAAAATGAACCATTGAAGCGAAATGAAATACATCTTGATACGCCGACGTTAAGAAATTTGTGAAATGGATATTCGTACTTAGAAAATCGACATTTAAACTCGTTCAACTTACGAATCAGACCTACACAGCTGGAAATAAGATAGTACATAGTTGACTTCGAACGGACCATTGCTGGAGAAATGATTTGTTTCAAGAAACGCGCAAAGCAATTGGTAGATATAATAGTTGAAATGTCGAGTTGCTGCTTGCGAGGTCTGGTGATGCTCACGTGCTACCTGCAAACCGGACGATGGTCGAGACCAGCAACCGCGTGTGGCTTTTCGTCGTGCTCTCTGCATATTTCTCTGCACTCTCGAGACCGTACCCTCTGCGATTTCTGCACGCCGACCCCCCACAGAGAGAGAAACAGCTTTCGCTCACACACTTTCTCTCTTTTTCTCGCCCTGATCGACTAGCGCGAACCTGCTTTCACCAGACCACCAACCGCTCGCTACTGCAAACTGCTTACAGCCCTGCTACTCGGCTTACTGCTTACTCTCAGCTACCCCATCATCAGCTACACTCGCCACGCCACTCCTTTCCACCGCCTGTGGCACCATAAAATTACAACTTAGTTATAAGGAATAAACGTGTTACATCCGTGTGTGAGGAATTTTATCTTTTTTTTTCTTTTGTTGAAAGATGTTTGACGATCGATTAATTATAATATTAAAGATAAGACCAATGGTTAAATGTTAAATTATCTTAAATTCTACAATTTGATCTATCTAAGATTAATGACAGCGTTGTTTTATACAAGATTCGAGGAAGTTAATAACATTCAGAAGTGAACAGCAGTATGTAAGTAATAAGTAAATATGAAAGATTGTACCACTGTTAATTTCTTAAGCTTATGATCTTAATTGGGACATTTTGTTTTACTCTCATTGTACTCGATACAAGAAAATCCATAATTACGATATCGAAATTTTTTCGTAGACGAATATAAATGATAAAAAATTTTCGAGTAACTTATTTTTCTGACAGCATTACCTACATCTATATATGTAGTTTTTAAACACTGTCTAAAACTATGTGAATAGTTCCGTCTTCTGCATTTTATTACACTTTATTATAAATGGCAATCTTACATAAATAAACCTATATATTGTTACAGAAACGCAGAACTTATGTCTATAATCTATATAGATTACGACTTTTAATTTTTCTTATTTATTTCTTTACTTTTTCTGACTAATCGAGTCGTAATCATAATTTGTCGATCGAGTTATATTCACAAACAATGAAAAATTATTCCAAGTTATTACGACTTAGGAAATTAGCTTAAACTTTGTACAAAAATTGGACTCAAATCGACCACATACAGTTTACATTACCTGCTAATTACCATATTAACACCCTCATGTATTTCCAGGAATATTTAATCCACCTTGCTTGGTTCAAATAATTTTTAATATTGGAAAACAACTTCACAATTTTATCGAAACAGTTGGTTTCTTCTTATTACTTATATATACTATATAGAGATTAAAATATTCATAATGACTCAAGAAACGAAAGAAAAAGAATAAACTGTAATCATTTATAACTCACTTATATCGAGACGTACTGAGAATTGTGCACACTACATTTTAACATAAGATGAGAACATTTTGTGATCGAACTAATAACAATTTCTTTTATTTAATTATTTATAGAGTGTAAACTTGAATATTATCCGCAACATCGTCAAGATGTGAAATTCCTGCCATTGTTCCAGAACAGAATAAAAGATCATTCATGTAGGTGCTACAGCACGTTATTTCGAAGCTCTTAATAGGATAATAATGAATGTTAATTTACTGATCAAAACAAGCTGTTTCGCTACAACAATGTCCATACACGCGAAACCAGAAAAACACATTAACTTTCTTCTGATCAGAAATAAGCATTGAGACAATATATCACTTAACAGAGTAAGAATTATTATAAAAACTTGCAAATGAAAGTCGTCGCGAGTCTATTAAACTCACAATCTAAATACATTACATTAAAATTAGTATTGGGTTCATTTTTCTTTTCTTTTGGTAACCCAAGTAGTGCGTTGTCATAATTAATATGTAAGTGACAGAAGAAATGTGAACGTGCGACAGTGTTGCTCTAGATATAGAGGGTAATAGAATACCTTTTTGTTCTCAAGAAACGATTATTCTGCACTCGCAGCATGTGCATCAGTTCACAGTTGTACTCGTATATGGTTCAATTACTTCAGTCCCTGCATGGAAAAAAGATCATATTATATGAATATATATTATCAATGATGCACTTAACATTATAACTGATGTTTGCGGAGCGAATGTATAGTGATAAGAATAAATTAAGTTTTATCTATTATCATAAAACTTACCTTGATTTGGAGCGACTGTCTTTTTGCCTATCTGGAGACTTGCTGCGAGAACGGGACTTTCCACGCGAGCTCTTACTGTCGGAACGCGAGCGGCTGCGGCTTCGACTATATGAACGCCTGCGATCTCTATCTCGGCTCCTTGATCTACTGCGAGATCTAGAACGCGAGCGTCTTCGATCTCTGCTTCTACTACGTGATCTATAAACAAACAGGCTATTGATACAAAGCTACATAGTATTACGTGTTAAGTATTTTACCTAATCTTTATGTCGCTCAATTAATTTCTTCAATTATTCTTTAAAAGTTTCAATTTTATATAAAAAAGATACAAACTGTTTGCATATTTTGCATTGGCTGTACTTTAAGGAACAAAATTATTGACATTTTTATATATAATTATATTATTATATACTATATATTATTATTACTAGTATATAATACAATGGGATACAAAAACATTCAAGCACATATAGACATTTTTTACGAATACTTTGACAATTTGTACAAAGTATATGTTTGTAATAAATATATACAGTTTCAAAATGTTTTATGCAATATATATAATATGGATATAGCAACTTTTTATAGTAAACATTCAAATACTTTCGCAAGCCACAGTATCTGTTATTGATGATCTTCACAATGAGAAAAAAAATTTTAACAATATGTAAACTAAATTCAAATCACACAGTGAGTATACATATAAGTGTTGGACTATGGTATAAATATCCCAACATAAAGGTATACAGATTTTCTATATAATAAAAATGTTTTAATAACAATTACCTTCCTCGTCGTCGGCTACCACGACTTCGGTGTGGTGAAGTTGGTCGTCCATATCGGGCCATTTGAACTCTAAGTTCCCTGCCATCTAACAGTCTTCCATCCATGGCATCTAATGCATCTTCCGCATCACGCTTATCATAGAATCTAAAACAATGACTCACAATAATAAAAATGTTATTTTAGACATATATAATATATATATATATATGTTATTAGAAAATACAAATTGTTTGGCCATAATATTTGTTGCTATATATAAGCTTCGTTATCTGAATACTACAATGACGTCACACTAATAAATCGTAATCAACAGAATGTGCACAAAAATCGATAAACACTAAGAAAAATAGATCTTTACATACCTAACGAACGCAAATCCGCGACTTTCTCGAGTAAAACGGTCCCTGGGTATGTAAATGTCGCCAACCTCGCCACATCTTTCGAACACGCGTCTCAGATCTTCCGGCGTCGTTCTGTACGTGAGATTGTCCACTTTTAAGGACACCATCCCATCAATTCGAGGTGGTGGCCTACCGTAACTCATGTTTTTCAATTCGTGGGGGACTTCGAATTGAATAAAAACAATACTACAGTCGACGAAATCAGTTTTAGAACAAGAACCACAGGTGCATGTACGTTCAACACAAGATGGCGAGCAGCGGAAGAATGAATTCTACGCGCAATATGGTCGGAAATGACGTAAATAAAATATCGCACTACGCGCGTCAAATTCTTTTTTGTACGAAATGCACATATTTTTCTTTCATTCGTAAAATAAATTGATTTTATTAATTTACTGATAAAACAAGGATATTTTGACAAAAAGATTATGATTTCTTTATTGAAATGAGTTACAGTAAAAATTTAAAAAAAAGCACAAACAATTGTTTTTGATGGAAGTGAAAATTATCTATAAGAACTATTTCTTTTATTAAATATGCTCCAATATTTCATATAAATTAAGTATTCCAATAATTTTCTTTTATTCCTGCATATAATTTATGAAAATTTAAAGTGTATTTTCATATTCTTTTTAATATTACATAGGAGTGAAATGACTTACGTTGCTCACTTCCGGCCAATTTCAAATTTAAACGGGCAGCAATTTTTATCGAAAAATAAATGAAAACGTTTGAATTTGCTCTTGTTTTATCGAAAGCAAAAGAAAGTACACAAAGGTTTTAATGGAACAACGTTGCTCTACATAAGAAAATATCATGGGAACTAACGTAGAATGACATAGATAACTTCGGTGAAGGAAATATCGACTCGTCTTTTATGTTTCATTTCTAAACAGGTTTTTATATAAAAAAATTAAATTCCACGTACAATATCAGACACACGCGGTCAATGGTGGTAAACATTGATCGCAACAAATCGTTAACGCATTATTTTTATTTAAGTTTCAATGAAGCTGCATCTGTGGTATCACAACAATGCCCTTGCAATAAGATGCCCCACAAAATAATCTGTCAACATGGTTTAAAAATCCACCGATACAATTACAGCTTCGATCTCCATTTTGCACGTTTACGAAAACGAATCATACCAACCGTAAGAAAGGGCAAACGCAATTGTTGTACATTTTGGTCCTTTACCCGCCGATCTCCTGTGTCTGTTGCATCGACATGTTTGCATGTTACGAGACGATCTTTCGTTTGATTAAGGAAATGTAGGCAGAAAACGAAACGTTAATTTTTAACATATTTTAAAAAAGATCGAGTGAGAAGAGAATTTGAAAAAAAGAACCGAAGGGCAAACGTGTTAACAACAAACACAGTACTCACAATACTTCTTTGACTTAGCTAGGCGGTAGGCGCAAAAATAAGAGACGTCGAGTGATCGCAATTCTCGCTCTATTCTTTTTTTACTTTTCTATCTTCCTTTTCCTCTGAAGATTCGTGAACCATTGGCAGAGCCACGAGTATGTACGCGAAGCGTGGTCTCGAAATAAGAGGAAGTAATACGTGCAGGATAAAGGTCGTCGAAAGAATTTCTAACAAACCACATAGCGATATTCGATTCAATAAATAGCTTAGAAATGTTTAACAGGTATCTTATTATTACAAAATACAAACGAGGAAAAAAGAGAGAAAGAAAAAAAGGAGATTCGAAGAAGAGATTCTGATTGCAAGAGAAATGGAAATGAGATGATTTTGAAATCAGACAGAGACATTACATAGAGAGCGTATAATGAAAGAGATGAGGGTTGAAAAATTAGACCCGTAAGTTAATCGAAGATTATTATGTTATCACTTGTCATGTGTAATAAATGTGCTTCGCGATAATTATAAATTAAAAAAGGGTCCAACGATTCCATACGTGGGATACACGACTTGTTACAATTAAGATTATTAAAAAATATATATATATATAACATATATGTATATGTATATTATATAAAACACAGGCGAAGTAATGTCAGTAAAATCGATCTGTACGGGGCGAAACTTTCAAATATCTTGGATGACGGAGGGAAAAAATGTATATCTGACAATTGTTGAAATACTTGAGACCGAACTTGGACGACGCGACGTCTCTTCGTGCATTCCGTGGGCGTGGGACGTCGCCCCGTTCAAGCCACCGCTTACACTAATTACTATTCAACAATTCAAAATACTTATAATGATACACACAACCATGAATAATCTCAACAGCTGCTGGCCTTAGCCCGAACTAACTTATTATCATAGATAACCGTGAATACAAAAGTAATTCATTTTCTCTTTTCATATTTCTTTTTATCGTCATTTATCTATTGCTACGTCGCATATGTAATAAACGTACAATACGATATTACATATCGAGTTTTCCTTTTCTCCTTTTGTTATAAGTTAGTTTCTGGCCGATCAAAGCTCCGCAACGCTCTTACGAAAAAAAAAAGACGCTGGTTCATCAGATCTTGCTTTACAATCTTCCGTCGTTAATTAATTATCTCTCTCCCTCCATTTCTTTGTCATTTCTCTCGTTCGTAATTGTTTCTTTCTCCGCTCAGTTCGCATTGTGGTTGTATACAAAATATTGTAATCAGGACATTCACAATCATCAGTCGCATGCCTTCTCCTTTTCCTCTTTTCCTTCGCCTTCTTAATTTCGTTCCTTCGCTTGTCGCGTCCAAATGTCATACACTTTCAACGCTAAATCGAAATTCGGAAAAGGAAAGAAGAAAAAGAGAACGCATCTCTCATCCGCTGCCTTTACAATAGTTCTCTCTCGGCTTCACGTACGGTTTAACCCATCATTCTCTGTCTCACGTTTTAATTTATATCCGTTTATTAATATTATTACGCTCGATATAAAAATAATACTCAGTCGATTAGTACAGATTTAATACTCGGTGTAAGAACTGGGGAAGGGGTCTTAGCGCTTCCAGTTTCTTACAGTGTGTATTTTTATTCTTTTTTTTTTTTTTTTTTTTTAAACCTTTTTCACAATGTTTTACGATTTACGCCTCTATTATCGCTTCTTCTCTTCACCGTTTATATACTTATCGTGTGTACGTAAGTTTCTCTTATGCATTAATGTAAATTGTGTATGTTTAATGCGCGCCTCTACGCGTGTAACGTGTGTGTGTGTACGTGTGTGTTTGTGTGTGTAATACGTGTATTTATGTGTGACTTAGGACTTCGACCAAGGAAATCTCGGTGAAATCAAAAGATTCACGGTCGCGCAGACGGACGGAACAGTGCTGCGAGTTAATAATTAATTATTTTTCAACGCAAGCCGCAGAGAGGTATCGACGATTCACCCCTTATTTATTTTACATTTTCCATCTTTCCGCGAAAACCCCTTCTCTCTCTCTCTCTCTCTCACACTCTCTCTCTCTCTCTCTCTATTTGTCATGTACAATTATGCATTTCTTTGTCTCATATCATTTTTGTTTCTTATCCTCGAGACTTTCGTATACATTTGTTCATCGTGGACACGAGATGCTCCGTAGCCGCGATTTTCTTTCTAAAAAAACCGCCTCCTATGATCATCGAAGATTAACAACAAAGATGTGCACGTGGTGACGAAGCACCTCGCAGTGATCTCGCCTACTCTCGATCCATCGCTTTGATCTCACTCCAGCTCACCATTTCGGTAATTAATTACATACGCATAGCGTATATAATCAGACGGTCATTGACTATTTTTCTCTTCCTTTCTTCCTTTTTTCGTTTTTTTTTTTTTTCTTTTTTCTCGTACCCGTTAATAAGCGACTCGAATTTGAAGAAATATTAATAGTTCGTAGAGGCACACGTGTTTCGCGAGATTGAGGAGAGAAGCGGATGGATCAAGAGTAGAAATCATTACAATAAGTGGCGTTTTTAACGCGTTAGTAACGTGCACGTGAGCATCTGTATTCAACGAAATCTCCAGGTGAAGGCACCTAAAGCATTGACCGTCCGCATCTCGTACCGCATAAAACCGAGTGTGTCTCGCAGAAAAGGTGGGAATGACCACACGCGCAGTGCCTGATCATTACTAGCTAACGCGTGTAATTGTTCTGTTTCTCATTTTACAAAAGATAAAAGAAAGAATGCAAAGGAAAGAAAAGAGAAAGAAAGAAAGGAAGGAAGAAGAAAAAAGAGAGAGCGAAACTCGTATAAAGTACAATGTAGAAACAATAAATTAAGCCAGTCGTTGCCAAAAAAAAAAAAAAAAAAAAAAAAATGTCTTACGTTAACGTCGGTGCAAAAAACGGTGAATACAATAAATTATAGTTTAAATAATTATTCAGGGGAGGGTCACTTATGTAAAAATAGACGTACAAAACAAGGACGAAGGAAAAGGATGGGGGGAAAATAGGAGTAGAAGGACGCGGGAAGGACTCAAGAGGGAAAATAACTAAATAATTTAATAATTAAGTAAGACAAATCTCGCCATCGGGGATTCCTTTAAGTAGTGTTGGTTAAAACTCTTAACAGCTAAAGTCAAACGCGTAGAATACTGATACATAAAAAAAAATTCTATAAGAAGCCTCAGCTATTTTTTTATTTCGTTCATTATTGTTAAAAAAAAAAAAAAAAAAAAAAAAAAAAAAAAAAAAAAAAAAAAAAAAAAAAAAAAAAAAAGAAAAGAAACGAGTCGTGACGAGTGGCGGTCTTGCAACTAAACCTTATTTAAAAAGGATCGTAATGTCCTTAACGTTTAATGAAATCGATATATCAATAATATTAATGTATTTTTATATATATATATATAATAGCAATACTCGATTTCTCGATTCTAATAATTATAAAAAATATCCTCTAGTTTCAGAATTAGTAGAGAGCTCAAATCTAATTCTACTTACGCATCTACAATGGTAATAATAATAATAATAATAATAATAATAATAATAATAATAATAATAATAATAATAGTAATTAAAAAAAATATAAGGATAATAATAGTTATGCTTTTTTTGTTATTTAACAAGCTACGTCGAGCCAAATATTTATAACTGAGAGAAAAAAAATGCCTAACAAAATAACTGTCCATTGCTTTCACTTCTTTCTATCAATGTTATTTCATAAATAAGTTCATTCTCTTCGCGTATGGTACACTTAAAAAAATGGTATTCTAAAATGTTCTATCAACAGAATTTAAAAAAAACTGGCGATCTATAGCTTGACCAAGAGAAGTCAAGGCCCTACGTACTTTAGTAACTGATTACTTTCGTCCCTTAGTAAGATGTTTAAGCCTAAATGTGTATCACGTATCTTTTAAATAAGTAGTATATACCGCTTAAAAATAGAAAAGTGTTTTACCTATACGAAATTTACAGTTCATACAACTGATGTCTGTAAAAAAGACACTGAAATTTTGAAGAATATTTACAAATTCGTTTTACAATAAAAGTAAATAAAATACGTAGAATATACACTTGTTAAGACTTATTTAAAAGATATGTTACCTCTCAACCTGCTTACAAAACAGGAAGTGTATCGAATACGTACTAAATGGAAGGATCATTTCGACGTACAAGAGAAAAGTTTAGCAATCTGTTATTTGGATCGCAACTATTGTGAAACCTCATCATAGTTTATGCCTCTTCCTCCAATACTCGTGTTATCAATGTAAAGATACCACATCTTCAATGCCATTCATATTTAAAAAATATGTATAAAACAATATTATATACATTAAAAATATAAAGTATATAAATTAGCTTTTGTTATGCATTAAACCGTAATCGTTCGGAGATTTGATTGAAAATTCTAAAAAATACGAAATAAAATACGAATGTATTATTTATTTTCATAATCTTACTACAAGTTAAAAGCTTAAAGATTTAAAAGTTTAAAAAAGGAAAGCAATAGCATTGATTTGTGGTATCATTCATACTCGTATAATAACATAGAACACTGTATCTATGTATGTAATACTTGTATGAGTGTATGTGTAATATGCCTGTATCATTTGTGTCTGTATATATATATTTATACGAGTGTATCCATAAGGCTCCTTTGATAACGACTAAAACTAAGTTGCTCCACTAATCACTGTAAGTGAATTTAAAAGCTCTGTAAAGCAGTGTATGCCAAGAGGTATCACTGATAAGAAGAGCTATAAGAAGAGGGAGAAAAATAAAGGAGAAATATGTAAATGCTGTGTATGAGGTTGTAAAAGAGAAAGATAAAACGTTAATTTTTATCATATGCCCTTAACTATACTCTATGTTACATAGACTAAATCTATTTTTGGCAAAGTTGTTTAGGTATACAATGTTAGATATAACGATACATGAGTAGATGCACTGGCCATCGTATTAAGTGGTATTTAGGGTTGCTTAATACCTGTTTATTAATGTGTGATCTGTACATTCTGGAAAATATAGATCAGTGATAACCCTTAGAAAAACGAACAATTTTGTTTATCTACATCAAAATATCCATTGTTTTCTTGGCTTTTTTACAATATGAAAATAAAATTAAACAGAGTTAAGGAAGAAATTTAAAGGGAGACTGTGGAATATGTGAAACATACCTACAGCAATTGTGGAGCAATAAAATTTGTTATTTTTAACGTCTGGCATATAAATGAATGTTATCTAAGTATTAGTTCCTGAAATTTATGTATGCCGTCGAGAGAGCACGCAAACGAGTATTGTATGACGACAATCTATTCTACGTACCATCGCGTTTTTATTGCTTTCGGAGTCTTAGCTTATATGGTGGTGTGCTGCCTTGTCTATTAAGTACAAATCATCGGCGACTGCATGAACAGTCGACAAGCTTTTTCAATACGTAGAGAAGAAGGGAGGGGGAAAAATACATAAATGGTAGAAAGAGTATTTAAATGTGTTTACACCGGCAGTCTCGTGCTCATGTAAAAAAGTATCTACATCATCTAAATTAAGATCGTATCTGTAATTAAATTATCTGCATTTACTGCAATAAGAGCTAAAAAGGGGAAGAGAAAAGAGATGAATCGTTGAAAGGCCACTAGAATATAATCTTTAAAAATGATACTGGCAAAACTGTAATGTGGCAAAGCTCAAGTTATAAAATATGTATCGAATATTTGTTTCTTTAGTAAATATTTGCCACATTGCAACCGTTTTTCTGTTCCATTGATTTCCTTCCATTTCTTCAGTTTGGATTAATAAGACTTCGCTCGTTATTAAATCCAATTAAAAATAGATTTTGTTTACTAGTTGAGTTCAGTTGAGGGACGTTCGTTTTTTAGCTTGAATATTACGCAAAACAACGAGACAATTATGATTGTAACATCACTGACAGCTAAAAGCCCGTGGAACAAAACGGTTAAATTTTGTTCACTAATCTTTTAGTGACAAATCTTCATTTTTTTGCTTCTTCTTTATTTCTAAGCCTTCTCGAACAGTAATCTAGCACCGTTCTAAAAACTTTCACTGGTGACTGAATTTCTTACGTCACTAAGAAAACAGACAACGACCACCATTCCTTTTTAACGCGTAAAATACGTGCGACACCGAAAGAACAATTTGCGCGTGTATGTACAACGATCGCCCGTCGCTCTCTATAGCTGCAAGCGTAGAAAATTTTGTATAAAAATATTCTTCGTATTCGTATATATCGTGTATATATATGTACATATTTTGAATAACCACGTAATTAATACTGCGTATTTAATATCATCGTTCCTTCGTGCGCTCTGCACCACGGGCTTGGTAGCTCAAGGGATAAATACACATCCCAATATTCTACCACTTCAAATTTCTCGAGACCGTGGAAAAGAGGAAAAGAGAGAAAAGGAGAGTCCAAAAAAGAGAATCATGGACGAGAATCAGTGACAGAAAGGAGAAGGAGAACAATCTCGTCTTTTACACCCTGTGTATCACCGGACAGACTATTCTGTCTAGAGATTCTTTGTTATATATATATATGTATGTATATATATAATATAATATACATATATATATGTATGCATATACATGTATGTGTATATGTGTATATATATATATATGTATATATATGTATGTATATATATACCTATAGCGAAGTCGTTCTGAAGCTGGTCGAAGTGTTTTCAGTGTGCTTCTTCGGATAACGACGTCGCAACCAAATTCAATGGTACGTCCGAGACATTCTCTTCATCTCCTGCTTCAGTTTCTTCTACCTCCGTGGATAAATGACATTGTTCTCGCCCTTCTGCCTTTACATGCTATTATGATATATAGATATTAAAAAGTTTAAACCTATTAGCCTATAAATTAACGATCATCGAATTGTTTTATGATACTTACATGCATCATATAACTAGGTAAGGGAAGAGAATAATTAAGTTGAGCGGTAGGGGCTGGTGGATGGGCACCAGGTATACGTGGTGGCGTTAATGCAGCCATCATTAAATGGGGTTGAATTTGTCGCCGAAGAGCTGCCAACATGTCCGCACTTTCTGCATCCATTTGCTCTGATTGTGGTGCCAAAATTGAGTCACCTTTTTCTGAATAAAAAAAGAAGGAAAATGTATATATAAAAAAAAAGAACATATTGACAAAACCTATTAAATTATCAAGTGTATCTAATGCCTACTTCTATGCCTTGTCGGTTTCTCGCCTTTGGGTCTGCGTCTGCGTGTATGTATCGTGTCCCTTCTCATGGTAACTGGACGATTTACTCCATGCAGTTTATAATAGAGTCCACAAGCGTTACAAACCATTTCCCCCTTCATATTCCTTCTCCAAATGGTTGTGGTCATGGTGCCGCAATTTGTACAGGACATATCTACCTTTTTCGCCATATTACCACTGTGTTGATCGAATTGTTGTTTTTGGTCCTCCACCTAAAGAAAAAAGAAAAACGAATGTAACATTTCGTTCTACCATAATATATTTCGTCATCATTCCGGTCGTACCTTTCCCTTCATTTTATTTGACCACGCTGTAAAGTCTTGTGCTTGCTCTTCGTTAGATTCGTGTTGATAATTAACGACGTCTGGACTCATTGGAGCTTTACTAGGATAACTTTGTTTTCTACGACACTTGGTCTCCTTCCGACCGATACTGGCAGGGCTCGACGGATTACTGTCCACGGATGTACCCTATAGATTAACAGATATTTTAGAAAACCATTGGATATTTATTATTGTTACATTTAAAACCATTCGGTAATTATTGCAACATTAGTTCATAATCGTGATAAATCGAAACGCAGAGAAAATTTATAACTCGAAATTTCCTGAATATACGTAACCTTCCGAGGGTAAAACTAATTTCTTGCAGGTACCCGTTATCGAGATAAAAAGGCAATAGAACGGAAAATAGTATTACAATCCTGTTTCTTATTATAGAATAAATTGAAGAATTTCTCATGCGGAACAAAACGCGTTTAAAAATCTATAGAAACCCAACTTATCTGAACATCTGTTAACAGTGAGTTGACATGGTGGACTTAGCGCTTATGGCCTATCACAAAGGGCTTCTCAGTTATCTATTATCTACAAGGCCTACCACGTTTCTTACCTGCGAGCAGATGGGACCTGAATAATCCTAAAGGGATCCCCCTTGACACCCAAGGGTCACCTGACCTGTCCTCTTTTCTATACCTGCAGTTCTTTTCTGATATTTGCATTGAACAAACTGCAAGGACTTCACATGGAAGAACCTTTATTTGCACGAAGATCACGGTCAAAAAAGTATGAACATAAAAGAAAATAAAGATTTTCCGTGTTTCCATAAATCTCTGGATTTTCTTAAGGTATAATTTTCTTTTCTTTAAGGTATAATTTCGGAAAAACAGTAATCTTTTACTGCTTCTATAATAACATCGTATACTTTATTAATTCCCGATCGCAATTTATAGTTCGTAAATACGTATATTTGGAAAATCCTAAAGGTAAATTGAGAAAAATTCCCAATGACACTTCAAAATACCCACGATTCAAATACAGTGACAAAGATTTATATTATTGAGTTAAAATATCATATCTTAAAGTGTACAAACCTTATTTTCTATACACGAAACATTAGTACGATTGCCGAGTACAGAACAGTCGGGTACAGTACGTTCGATCGTTGTCCCTTGGGTGTCTCTGTAAAACCTAATTTGCGGAGATATTCTGTCCGAATCAACGGCAGTAATACCGATTTGTCTGTTGTTGATCAAGGAACGCAGTAAATTAGTTGCTTCACCAGTAAATCCATTATTTAGTTTGTCACCATTTGTCCTAGTAATCTCTAAACTCCTGTTGCTATATGAGAAGTAAAAACAAAGAATACATCTTTCAATTCTAAAAACGTCTAATAATGTAATAATAAGATTTCAGGTGCAATATGAAATCTGCAATTAATTAAGTTTTATCTTTAAACGAACTCTTATCTCTAGAGGAACAACCTGTTACAAACAGTAGTTACATTGATAATCCTAAGGTAAATATGTATTAAGCACACAGGATTATATTTGGATAGTCTTAACAAAAGATAATACAATCTGTCAATAAAAATCTATGTTTGAACTTTGAGACTGTATACATATAGTTTTATTAAATAAACAAGAACATATAAAAGGAAACTACATTTATACACTACAATTTAGCTTTATGGTCTTATCATTGTATGACATAAACCACCCTGCTACCAAATTTTAAATTCTGTACTCACTTTGCTAATGCTTGCCACAACTTTGTTGTTTCTTGATCAATATTTGTATCTGAACAATTACTTTCTGGTGTATCCATTCTATTTACTGGACTGCGATTAGGGGTACTCGTTTTTGATTCTTCATAATTTGTTTCTACTTTCATTCTTTTGTTAATGGTCATATCATAACCATTTTCTTCCCCCTCAGTATCCTGCTCATCTCGATCTTCTATTTCTAATCTGTCTGGATCAGAACTATTTGAACACGTATCATCTTCTGGCTCACACTTAATGTTATCATGCTCAGGCATGTCATTGGTGCACAACTCCAAATGATGTGTTTGAGTCTGAGGTATAACGTTTTGATTAATGCTGGCCGGAGAGTTAGGCTCCTCATTGAACAATGTTTTGTTCAATTGGAGAAATGACTGTAGAGGACTTAAGCCTGCTACTTTGGCAGTGGAGAAAGATTTCTTCTGGAAAAAAGCAAATTACTATTTACACTACAGGTTTATTTAACTAAAACATATGAAATACTTAAAACTACATACAAAAGAGAACAGAAAAATAACAATTTAATCTTAAATTATCACATTCATTTCATCCAATGCATCACTTTTATTAAAATTCTAGTAAGCAAATATTTTATTGATTTCTGCATAAATTCTCATCTATCAGAACAAATTAGAAATACTATTTTAACATTTGCACTTTGTACTTAATTATACTTAATTACAATACATTTATAAGAAAATAATTAGTTACGCACATATATTTTTCTGTTCTGCAATTATTATCAAATTGATAAGGTTAAAGTAGACTGCATTAAAGGAAACCTTGAAGTGTCTTACATAATTACTGATATATCAGGGCAGAGAAGCAAATAAACAGCAGGTTGTATGTGTTAAATGTGTGTTTACAATATATGGAACATACATGTGCTAAGGCACATCCTTATCTACAATCACATATTGCACATTTCCAGTTGCATCATTACTTAGAATGGAATGACTGCTCACTGATGCTACTGTGTTAAATTAAGTCTTACTCTTTTAACCAGAAAATAATATGATTCATATCATTTAATGACCCATGCCCCTATGTTCCAATATTCCTCTATCCATGGCATTTAAAAAAAATATTTGTTGACTACCTGATCATCGTGTGATGATAACTGCTTGGCATAATCCAGGTACTGTTTGAGTATGACATCAGATTTGTGTGACACTTCACGGAAGTTGTGCAGTACATCCAACTTGTACACGCACCGGTGACAAATGATTGGTGGCAAAGAATCTCCATCTTTTACCTGAATAAAATGCAATTACATCATTGCTTTTCTGATCCACCAATACATACTCAGTACTTGTGATAACAATCTTATTAGAGTAACTCTAATTCATTCCTATAATATTCCCTATAGAAGATCAAGTAACAGTTACACATTAAAGCCATTATGGAATGCAATGCTAATAATTACTACATCTTAAATCAAATCTCCTTAATCTTAATCATATAAACACAACTTTCAATATAAAAACAATGGAAGTAATTTTGTTTAATACAAGCGCGTAAAATACAGAATCGAAAATGCAGAATCGCAGAATGTGTCCTAATTTCAGGCAAAAATTTAAGATAAATGTCAAAGAGGAATATAAATATAAAAACGGGCGATTTTTTTCTAAGTAGGTTGAACGGAAGCAGAGCTTTTCTCCAGAAGAAGAGAGTGTTCATATATACGAGTGCGAATCACGAATAACGAAGATAAAGGAGAAATATAGGATAGAGTGAAATGTGACAGCGACTCGTGGAATCCGCGTGTGAAACCTGATAACAGGCCGTCTAAATAAGGAGCTGCTCCCCTCTCCGTGAGTTCCGCAGAAGCGAGGAGCACAGAGCTTATCACTGCCATTTTAAATCCCCCGTGAGTCGGCTTATCTCGCGGACACATCTCTTGCCAAACTTTCTCCCGTGGCACGCGCACACACACACACGCACCCTTGAGATAGTAAGGTGAATAGAGATAGAAGACGACGGTGGAGAGAGAGCAGGCGTGATCGAGACGAGGTAAGAGCGATAGGAGCGCGCGTAAGAGAGAGGGAGACACGATGACGAGTGCGAGAACCACAGATGGTCGCGTCTGATTTATCTTCGTCTCGGCACGAGGACCCGGTGAAAACTCTTGACGAAACTCACCGTAATCGAGAGGCACGTCAGTATCTTATCGGCGAAGTTCCGCTGGGCGCCTTCCTCTTCGAATATGGACAATTTGACACCGTCCGACGATAAACAAAGGCGACACAGCTCGTAGAACTTGGGCGGTACATCGAACATAATTGTGAGCTCCGGCTACGTTGCGCCTTGCGTAAAGCGCGAGTCATCAAGAGGTAGACTCTTTCCTTGGCCGACGTACTATCTTTCTCCACTGCCACTACGCGTTTAGCGACGAGGAAGGGTACACGATCACTTATCACAGTCACCGCCGCGGCTCATTGTCAGCGGCACAGTACACACGGTCATACAGTTATGCTACCACATAGAGAGGAGACCACGAAGAAACAGAATGTTTCTCCGACTTCCTTTTTATGATCCTGCTCACTGGGAGGCGCTGACGATTACTTCCATCTTTGAAGTTACTGAGTTTCACTGGAATCATCGGACTCGACCGATCAAATACTACGCCATCTCCAGGCTTCTTCGGTCTTTCTCCACAGCGTCATCTTTTTTATGTATCGTTTATTAAGTAATTAATCGATCTTACGAATAGTAAGAAACACAGTTAATACTTCCGAATGTATAATTCGAGTTCAAAAGTTTGTTATTTGAATTATACGATTCGATAGTCTTGTCACTCCTTTGTAAATTTTTCAAGCCTTTTCGTCTTGGCAACTGAGAAAGAAATGCATGTTCTAATTTTTAGGTTACGACGTTTATCTTATTCGCGTAACAGGTACTTCTTTCGCGTGTCTATGCACCTTGTAAAACATAACTGTACTTTCATATCGTGAATTATGAATTTAGGATATGGAAAATCAAGACAGATGCGTATCTATGGTACGTATTCAGCGAAATGATTTAAATACATTTATTAAATTAAATGTCGATCTATCCTATGTACCTACACATGAAGGATTGGAGAATTTATATCTTATACAAAATGTATACGTTATTACTAATAGAATTGTATAAATGCTTAAATACAATAAGATTATTAAGATTATTTTATTCTCGTAAGATCGTGATAATGATCAAAATAACGATTCTTTAACTCAATGCCATATACTGATCAGAGATCAGCAATTAAATCGATAGAAGAAACGAGTTTCTTATCACGCGTCATTTTACTAGGAATTTCATTACATCGAATAAGTAGCCCAACCCATAAATAAATCAGGCAAACGGGGAGAATGACTAACGCAAGATTACGCGACCCATCGACCACTTTCGGCCCACGCTATTTTATCACATTTTTAATCCGATCTTCGTACATATAAGGTTGTGGTACGATAAACATCAATTTTTAATTTTTGTATAAATTCATCGTGTTATTGTTAAATTTTGTACGATTAAAATATACAAAAATTTGTTTACCTTTTCAGATGATCACGATATTTGCAAGACGAGATGAATTAATATTTTAATCACTCGTTGCAATAATTATGTAATTATAATTAATTTGCCCTATTTATAAATAAATAATATATTAATTTATCGTAATATCATTATATATACCAACATATAGTATTTATTCTTATAATGTATAACAATATTTACACAAATGTACAAGTTACACACATTTTTAGGAAATGTATGCACAAATCACACAATACCAGATGAAGAATTAAATTGATATCCCACAGAGAGCTAGAGCTTACTTAATTTTGCCTAAACATATTACATTTTTAAACACAAAATTTGAAAGTTATAGTTTACTGCATATGTTATTTTCTTACTATTGCACATCCGCAGTAGTATGTTTTATTTCTCTGTTCTAATATTAAACGTCATGAATATTAATCAAAGGTGACTAATTCTAATGTACGTACACTCCCTGTATAGAATTATAATGTACTGGAAAAAATAGTCTTATCAATGTCTTACTATCTTCATTTGGACGACAGTTACAAATATCTTTCCTTGCAAAATTGTTATAAAAGTTTAAATAAAAAATTATGAATATACATTTTTTACAAGTGTATGAAAAAAATTGTATACACAATTTTTTGCAACATTCAGTAGGGAATGTTTTGTTTCAAAGTAATAAAGAAATATTTTTCTAAAACAAATCCATAAAAACAATGCAAAGATATTTAAATAAGTTGTGATACTCATTTGCGCGCGACATATATAATTCAGTTGGACATATTTTACATTCATAACATAAAATGATTTGTGAGGTATATACTGTACATTTAGTACAAATTCATAAAAGGACTTAAGTAAAATAACATTCATTGCAATATATCTATCTGTAAATCGATATCACAATTCACTTTTAATCATTCTCCTTTCAAGAACATTTTGTTCCTGATGTAACTCTTCCACTTGAGTACTATTTACTTTGCTATCTAACTCAAGTGACCTAATACTTTTATAATATCTCCTATATTTTTGTCTGATAAGCTTTACTTTGTGTTGATCTTCTCTGAGATCGATAGTGGAACCTAATATTAAGTGTATATCTTTAATGTGTGCCAACTTCAGTAAAATGACTTTTCTTTTATTTCTAGCACTTAATCTCCCTAATAGAGTAATATGTCTTATTAATTTTCGATAATCTCGAAGCAGTTGTTGAATAATATCTAGACACAGCCAACGAGTTCGAGCGATGCACACATCTGGAACTATACCGGCTCCAGACTGGCAAATATTTACAAGCGCTTCAACATGCGAATCCCCATCCAAATTCGCTAAGATAAAATTCACAAGATTCGGTATTGTAACTGACAGAGAAAACGGATACACCGTGCTATCCTCTTTTCTGTAACGAAGAAGACTAGAGAACTGTTATAGAATACAATCACGAATGATCCATTATAATTACCTTTCGGCAGGAAAAAAAAGAATAGATGGGAATCGATTCATATTATATTCCCATGGTAAATCATTATTATCACCATCTACTTTTACGAATAAAAGATGATCCATTTCGCGTAAATAATGAGCTACTGTTAAGTACACATAAAATATTGCGCTACAAAATGCACAATAAGGAGAGTGGTACATTACGACCACATCCTAAAAAAGATCATTAAATTTAATATTTTCTTTATGGCATTATCTTATAACGTTATAATATGTTCATTACTCTTCCCAATTTACCTTTGTTGGATCTAAAATAGTATCTAAGAAAGTTTCAGTTGTCAATTCTGGTACGCACACACTTTTTATGTCCTTTGTTTTGCAACTAACTTTAGTCTTAAATTTTTGCACAAAACGTCTTGAATTATTAGAACGTAATGTGCGTTGTAAAAAGCCTTGGGTATAATTATTTATAAATTGTATAAGTGTATATCGACTAAAATCCTCCTGCATGACATATTGACTCTCATGCTAAAAAAGAAAGTTACGAATTAAATATATGTGAAAATATAAAAATACATTAAAATACTTACAGCAACATCTAATATCACAACAGCGGTCTTATCCTTCCTACTTAAAAGGTCTATGCCCAGGCCTTCCGCGAAGTAAAAATAATGTAAACTATCGATTGCTATTAATGTCAAGGTTTTGTTAATTTTACACACTGACTTTGTTAAATTTATATTCGGATGTTCAAGATTATCTCGTGGAAATACAGGTTGATGATATCTGTTTCCTGTTATCCATCTTTTACATTCAGATCTTAAATATGCTTGTTTTACTACGTCTGCAGATCGTACATCCTCTTCATTTGCAGAAGACGCCGATGTTCTGTATTTTTTAATAACAAAATAAAAATATTAACTAATAAAGGAAGTACAGAAACAATTCCTTTCATACCTCCTGGATTTAAGGTTGTCTTCATATTTTATTGTAGTAGGATCTTCGTTACAACAGATTTCATATGTCTGCTGTGGATTATGTACAGCTGGAACTTTGAAAATATCTGCACCTTTACAGACGGGATAAAATTTATTAGTATGAAGTTTACAGACAGGCATTTCTCTTTTTGCATTATTTAATATGTTCTTTTTACATAAAGAACATTTGTTCATTACAACATTGACACAGCAACTATCGTTAATCCATTTTTGAATCGAGATGCTGGTAGTGAAATTGTTTGTTTGATTTTTGGTTTCCTTCAAAAGTTTTGCACAAAATGTATTTCGCTCCGAATGCCTCGCAATAGCATTGCGACGCTTGAAACTGAGACGCTGAATTATCTCCTTAGGTAAGACATTATCTGCACAATTATAGTACTGGAGTCCAATCTCCCTGATCTAAAAAATTAATGTAATTTTTATTAGATATCCTTTGAATACCGCGATTAGGTTTACAATGCTACATACTAGATTGAAATTGTAATTTTCAGGATGCAAAGGATTACGAGGTGTGAAAAGAAAAAGTACAGGCCCTTTCTTTAAATATGGTGCTAATGTTAATGCTTTTACTCCAGGAGGTTGCAGCCATAGAACTGGTTGATGAATAGAACTGCTAATCCAATTTAATATGTTTTCGGAAGTCCATTCAGAGTCTTCTGGATACCTCTATACATTTGAATTCTCAAACTCATTTAATTGTGTTATATATGCAAATGTTTCTACTTTATGTATCCAATGTATTTACCACTGCCCAAATATAAAAACTTTTTTCATGTACTTACTAGAGACTTGCTCCACATAAATAAATTTGCAGATGGAAATTTGTAGATGTTATATTCCGTTTCACTAGATAACGCACTAGTCACAACAGCAAAAGCCAATTCTCTATTAGGGTCCTCTTCCAATGTTCTTATAGCAGCTTTATAAAATTCTTTGTAGCCAGGAGTTTTATCTAACCGAGTAAAATTAAAATAACCTACTACCACAGCCTGCAATTACAGTAACAAACAACTCACTGTTTTATAAATAACTATGTACACTAAGATCCAACATGTAAATTATTTATTTATACTTACATTATAATTCACACGTAAATCTGTTAATTGTTCTTTATGTGTTATCCTAACAATTGGATTCATAACTGTATTAAGAAATTTTATCATATATGACCATGTACGTATACCTCTGTATTCTATACCAGAATCCCTTGAAGGATAAAGCATCAGTACTGGGTAGATTTGTACTTTGTTATACTGAGCTCTACATTCTGAGCTTGGATGCCAGCAATTAATAGCAGCAAAAAATATCTGGGGATCACAAAAATATCTTAGTCTTATTATTGTATGATTATAAAATAATTAATTATATACACATATTTGATACCTGTGAATGATAATATTGAGCAACTATTTCAAATTCTTGACGCACAGCTTGACTTTCTGCATCCCATGGAGCATAATACATAACAAAACTAAAATCTGCTTCTGTCACCCTCTCTATCATAGCGCTTAAATGTCCTTTATAAAAATCTAAGACAATTGAACTTTGATTAAAAAATGGTTTAGCTAATGGAGGCTTTGATACCTTCGGAGCACTGCAATGAAAATAATCGCCATATAATACAACATATACAATAATAACACATATAATACTATCAAATAAAAACAAGCATGACTTGTTGCTACTGTATTCGTACAGTATTGATACCATACTTTCAAGTTACGAAATATCTATTGCACAGTACCAAAATATAAAACCATGTTTAAAGTGAGATAACAGTATCACACTAAAGTTAATGAATTTTTAACTAGAAAATCGTTATAACCTAAAACTTACGAACTATGGAGTGCAGCTAAGGTCAAGATAATTGCAAGGAAAAAATGAATAATTTTTCTAGCGTATGAGAACATCTTGCTGGTTAGTCTCTCTTTTATCACGACCTTCTGATGCGACTCTTTGGCCACGTCGTTACTTTTTGAATCCGGTATAGTCGTGTGCGAGTTATCACCATTTCTCGGCGTGCTTGTTTCAACTTCTTCTTTCAACATTATCCGTTAAACCAAAAGGAAATTAAAGGGAGGAGAATATCGTACGCTAAAGCCTCATCACACACTCGTTGTTTACTCCAGTACTGTCAGTCCAACTATTGTTTATTTAATTAAAACTAATTAGCCGGGGTTTCACGGATTTCGATCGAGCCATCTGTATTTTTGCAAACCGGAAACAGCTGAGCGCTTGTCAACATATCAATGCACGAACAAGATTTAATATTCATATAGTTTGTTTCAACTAAAATTGAAGGGGTTGTTTGCGATATTCTCTCGTATCTATCGAAAGCAATAAGTATTATGGAAGATTAACTGATATTAAATATATGTATATATTATAAATAAATATATTTGAAAAGTGAAAATAGAGCTTTGAAAAATTAGAAGTGTTCTATGATGTTTAATGCTTTTTACGAGAATTTATGTCCAGATAAGGAGCAATATATAAATACAATGTTTTCATTATGTGATTGTATTTTATACTAATGAAAAATTACAGGAAAAATTACAATGAGAAGTTTATTAATATTTTTACCAAACAGGCTTTACAAGGAAAAACCTGGATACATGTTTGGTAAAATAGTGTATGATGATAATACAGGAGTAAAAAAATTTTATGTCATTGGTGTATGTAAGGTAGATAATTTAGAAACAATGAAATGTGCCAGTATAATTGGATATTATTCTGGCAGCGAACACAAAAGAGGATATGTAGATAAAAAATATTTAGACTGGATTAATATATGCTTGAATTCTACATTTTACTCTAAGTGTGATATTTATGACTACAGTCTGAAAGGTATTATTGTGAACAATAAAAAAATTTCTACTCTACACTGTCATACAGCCATTATAGTATATGATCAATCAGCATTTAGAGAAACAGAATTATTTGCTCAAAAAGCAGTATCTGGAGACCACTTTTATGAGTTAATGAAAATCATACAAAGCAAGCAAATTGAGAGAGAAATACAGAAGAAAGGAAAATGTACTTATGTAAAAGAAACACTACTTGTGTATCATATGTTCTTATACTTTTATCCAGTCCTTTTTCTTGCTAAAATAACCAACAAGTTATTACCAGTTTTAAAATATTCTTTTCTTGGTTTGCATGTTAATGGATGGTTGGAAAATGTCAAATGGATGTTAATCACTGTAATAAAGAACAAAAAATTTAATTTGAAAACTGGTAATTATGTTTTTGCATTAATAATAGATATGTTATTGGGAATTTCAATATTACAGTTATTATTGCATTACTTTGAGTACATATCTCCATCTCAGATACTTTTGGATAATGCAGAGGTAATTTTAAAATATACATTGAAAATAGTATTAAATTAATGGTAATATTTTAACGTATGAATATTTTACAGAAGGCTGTCACATTTTTGAAGGACTTAATTAACTGGCTAATGGGTGTACCAGCTGGTTTAAAATTAAATCATGCCTTAAACAATATGCTTGGGAAATTTTTTCTATACCACATACATATGTGGTGGACATTCTTAATATTTATGAAACCTGTAATGGATTTTACATTCGAAGTACTGGTATTATTTGGAAAGCTTGGTATTACATTTCAAATAGCAATAGCAGCTGATCTTCTAGCACTTGTCAGTTTTCATGCTTATTGTATCTATGTATATGCTGCAAGGTACTAAATATATAAGTTATTAAGTATATAAGTTATAGAAACTGCAAAAACGCAAACTGAATAATAATTCAATTTTTTATCAGGCTTTTCAATATTCAATTAAAGGGTATTACTGCTTTGTTTCGACTATTTTTGGGTAAAAAGAAGAATCCATTGAGAGAAAGAATTGATTCTTGCCAATATCAACCTGATCAACTGTTTGTAGGAACTCTATTGTTTACTATTCTACTGTTCCTCATGCCAACAACTTGGGTTTATTATGTAGTTTTTACCATGGTACCTTATAAATAATTAAACTGTGATTATGATTATGGTTGAAAAATTCATAAGTTCATTTTACAGCTCAGATTAGCACTAATCAGCTTTGGAGGTTTGTTGACAAGAATGAAGTTTTATCTTCAAGTTATGCCTGTATATACATTTTTTAAGTGGTTATTTCATTCTTATAGCACATGCAGTAAGTGAAATACTTTTAATCAATTGTCAATTAATTGTAAATGCTGTCAATTTATTGGATTACTTACAAATTACACGATTTGTATGTTCTAGGTATTGTTAATATTAAAGTATATTCAAATAGAACAGAAGGTCCAATAATATTAATAATGACAATGGTAGTAGCATCATGGCATTATACATGGGACAAATGTATACCAGACACAATTAATCGTCATCCATCCATAGAATGGAATAAGATAATAAACAATATAATATGGGGTGAATTACTCTATCCATTATAGATTCCTATTTATAGCTTTATTTAACAAAGAACATACATGTATATATATCTTACCTAATTCTAAAATAAACATTGTTAACTAAATTAGATTCCATTAGATTATTCAATTTCCTGTTTTATACTTTTCCTTTTTTTTCCATATATTTGTTCAACAATTGCTGGGTCAATATCTTTGATCATAGCTTCATCGATATCATTTTCTTCCCTCAAGATACCAAAGTATATGAAAAAGGCAGCTAGGCTTAAGCCTATAACTAGACCTTCATAATTTGGTCGATCTCTACCGTCAATTGTATCTCTAGCAGAATATGTTGCTGCTTTAGATGTTGAGTATTTATAAGGCTTGTCATAATCATCGTCATCTTCATCTTTTTTCTTTGAATTGATACTATATTGTAAGGTGGAATACATTTGAAGAAAAGATTGCCTAAAACAATATGTCACTTTTTATCATAGTTTCAAAATACTTAAAGAATCTAACCTCTTTTTTAATACGAATAATTTAAAGATTTAATACAAGAAAAGAGAGTATCATGTATTCAAATATACCTATTCCCTAAGAATGATTTGCTACTTTTAAGATGTAAAACATTTTTTATTAATTTTAAATGCATCATTCTTACAAATAAGAATTGCTCAACGTCTAATTTGGAAATTCACGTATTAATTTTACCAAATATTATATATATATTATATTTGGTATTATTTCTCTTTCTTTACGTTTTATTTTGTAAATAATAAATATCAATTAGAAATTTATAAACATTTATACTTTCGATGTCCTTTTATCGTTCAATGTTGTTTAATGCTATGAACAGACGTGTCCACAGTCCATACACATGTTCAACGATAACTAACTGTAGAAACAGTTATTTTCTTATATTTGTTGCTTAATTTTTATTTAGTATCAGCTACAAAAATATTATCAGTACTTTAAATGTTGCAACTTTATAGATTCAAAATTATATTCATGCATAGAACACTGAAGTGATTTATACGATGGGATTGGAAAATACGTCAAAATTTAAGGTTATAAGTTCAAAATCGGGAAAACGAATGAAAAAAAATTATAAATCGGGAGGTGGATATTTAATAAATTTTATTCATGTTCCTATATACATAATTGTGACATGACTTTTATTCAAGATTCTGTATAACGCGAATTTATAGATTTTGAATTTATCATTTACAAAAATTACAGATAAAATAGATAACAATGTTGATACCTCTGCATGTGATACTAATCAAGTGAAAAACGTGAATAAGCGGAACATGAAACGTAAAAGACAACATAAAAAAAGAAGAGACAACATTAATGATAACATTGATGAAAATATAATTAAAGATGACAAAGAGGAGAATGTCTATACTGAGATAAAAGAGAATCAGGATGTAGAAGACACGAAGAGCGATGAAGAATCATCACCAAACAAGAAAGCAAAGTAAAAATTACTATATATTCATATTTAGATTTTAATTATTTTTTATATTAAATTATATATATGAAAATTGTTTTGTCAATAGTATAGATACAACAAATGGTTTAAATGATATAGAAGAAATTTATAAAAATAACTCGAAAACTCCAAGACGGCCTTCTAAAAGAGAATTAAAAAAACAAAAAGTTGAGAAAAGAAATAATAAAAGAAGGATGGCCAGTAGAATTGAAGCAATGACAAAAGGACTTAATTATGTTTCAAAGGTTTCTTTTATGATGTCATTTTTTAAAATGGTAATATTCAAAATGAAACAATTATTAATTCTACCTATAATAACTTCATTTATAGTGGAAATATGCACGAAGTGAATGGAAGTTTGAAAAGATAAGACAAATTTGGTTAATTGACAATTTGCTAGATGAAGCTTATATTCCAGATGACATTTTTCCAATAGTTTTAGAATATTTTGAAGGATGTAAAGGAATGGCTCGAGAACTACTTTTAAGGAAAGGCTTGGATGTTGTAAGGAAAGTAGAAAATGAACGAAATAAAGACGAGGTAGAATCTGTTGCTTATCAAAGGGCAAGAAAACTTCTACAAGCTTTACCTACCGAAACCTAAATAATCTGAAGTTATACTTAAAACCTATCAACTAGTTCATACTTTTAGTGAAATTTATTTTACATTTTGAAATTTATTTTACATTTTTTTTATACATTATCCCAACTATTTGTTTCTTTATTCACGAAATAGATACATCAAATTTTTGTAAATAATTAAACAATTAAATTTTATCTGTTTATTATATTAAAAACAATTTATTTCACATATATATATGAGAAGCTTACAATTGGTTTATTCTGGAGATATATATAAATAAAAAGTTATACTGTATTATACACTTATTACCATACAATATTATACAAGTACTTTAGTAACCATAAGGTTACTCCAACAAAATTACAGTTAAACTAGATTACATTATTCTGAATACTTATCTACAAATTGTTTAAGTTTATCTACATCCTGGAGACCAACAATTCTGTCTAAAACTTTTCCATCCTTCATTGCGATCAAGACTGGAACAGAGCCAACCTACATATATAAAATTTCTATTATTTTCATTATTTCAAGATAGGTAACAAATTTATAAAAATAAGAAATAACCTCGTAATCTAAGGCAAGATCGCTATTCTCGTCGATATCAACCTTTGCCAGTAAAACTTTTCCTTGTTTCTCTGCGATTACCGATTCTATACGAGGAGTGAGCATACGACATGGATTGCACCATCTATAAATCAAATTAAATTCATTATGATAAATTTATCATTAAAATCATTATGACAGTCCAATTTTTACATACGTTGCGAAAAAATCAATGATCACAGGCACTTTGGAGTTTTTAACGCGATCGTTGAAATCTTTTGGATCTTGAACTTTGAAAGCAGTTGAAATCGATTGTTCTTGAGCCGGTGCATTTGCAAAGGCTCTTGTTCCTAGAGCAATACGTACAGTTCTCAATCCAGTTCGGAACATTTTAATGTTTCGTTGATATAGAATAACCTACGACGTGTAGCAGATGTGTAGTAACTACGAATAAATTCTAAAACGTAATAACGATTTGATCAGTTCTAACCTAAACTCTTGTTCGGAAGATTGTACCGTACTGTTGATTGGGATTGAATGAGGTTAGGTATAAAATAACCAACAACGTAAAAATAAATTCTCCACGTGGTATCGTTTGTATATATTTCATTTTCGTCGAATCAGTTGAGAACTTTTCATTCGGTAAACAATAAATACAGATTTACGCTGTACATGTTTGTTATTTCATAGAACTGTGTATATTTAATAATGATACAAATTATATAACTTTTAAATATAAACATAATTAAACGATTGAAAATAATATTTATATGTGTTTATCCTTATAAAGAATCACTAAAGAAAATAAAAAATAGAAAAAACGAATTGATTGGTGTATAAAAAGAATAGAGAATCCTATTTAAACAAATACCGATGATCTTTTGTATTACATGCATTTTTCAAAACAGTGTAAGATTGTTCTAACAAGCGTTTTCATACAGTTAAAACACTGTATAAATTGTTTAAATTCTATCTGATTATTTATAATTGAATTTGATGGAGTAACCAAATTATAATTTTCAAGTTTTTTACATCACAACTTTTCAAGGATTAAGATCAATTTATTTTATAAATACCTACCCATGTGGAAAAGCGATGTAAAATACTTGTGTTGTAGCCATGACTTTGATCGAGGATAAAGTTTTGGGAACCCTATCTTAGAAATCATTCATTGAGAGAGTTCTCATTTCGTCTAATATTGTTTCTTCACCTTTGAATGTGTAGAAGATATAGCCACGAGATAAATAATGAATCAATTTGTTATAAATTTTGCCATCGTCAATATATTATTTTATTTTATTTTATTCATTAATACTTTCCTAAAGAAATTGTCCATGCTATTAGATCCTTTATTTAACCGCTGACCATTTAATTCGTTGATCTTGGTATCTTGAACTGGCGAGTCATTTTGCCAATGACCTACTCTCGTTTTGCGGCCTCGAAAGTTTGGACCTCGGTCATGTCCTAATCCTTTAAGCATACGTTATGACACTGAAACATCTAATGACTAAATTCCTTCTATGAAGTGGACTAAAATTATTCAATTGGAAGAGTTTACTCTACTGTATTGTCTATTATCGACAGAGTCGACAGCCATGACTTCTTTACTCATTATTTACAATTTTTTAGATTTTACGTTTACGAATTTAAAAATTCATTTTAATACATCTATGGAAAAAATACTGCTGATGACTATCATTACAGCCTTCACTGAAGACTTCCTAGAAGTTTATATTATGAATAGAATTTGAATAATAATATATCCTCCGAAGTTTCCTTTTCCGAATGCTACGATTCTTCTACGAATATCAGAGGAATCCATTTTTCCAGCTTATTTTCACACATGACAATTGTCAAAGTAATTAGTTTGCAATATTGATGATCGTTCACCTTGTCCAATAACATTAAATGTTTTCTATTCATTACTATTGTATTCCCGACTAATGATACAATACGAATAAATTAGGAGATATCCTGTGTTTTCACCTGATGAAAGAAGCATTGACTTAATTATTGAATTTCACGCCCAGAGTGATGTAATGAGCACGAATGCTAGGTGCAAAAGCTTCTACTGTATAGCATGGTCCTAAATTAAAGCATTATGTGGCGGCACCGATTGATATCATGACACTCAGGGTCGATTCGCAACATATTCTTCAATGTTTTTGAATAGCGATTGAATCAAGGCTAAATTACACTTTATACAGTTCTAATTGAGATTTCGGTTCCTTATTGTACACTTTGAATTACTCTGTACTGAAGATCATTAAAATTGTCTGAACATTTGCTATTCTATTAAGAATAAGAAAATAGCGTACCATGTAAAGAAATGGAGCTTCTTCGTTGTGATCAATAGGAGTTGCTTTCTCAATATTTATAACGATCATTTGAGGACTGTGGACATTTCTGGAAGCTCTGTTCTGATTCGCAACTCTTTCCGAGTACAGTGTTTGGCGATGCCTTCTTGATATATATGTATTCCACCACGACGAAATTGAAGCTTAAAATTTGCATAATGAGCCAAAGAGGAAAGAATCGTAGAAGACTTCGATGGGAGAAATTGCTAGGAGGATTTTTTAGCATCAAGAGAACCGTTGCAGGAAATGAGAAATTGTAGTAACAAAAAAAGCAGTATGGAATAATAATGAAATACCAGTGGAATATCATAATAAGTAATGCGAATAAGAAATAAAATATTAACGATCAAGGAAAAGGAGTTTCAGCAATACAAAAATGCAAGATATAAAAACAGGAATTCCAGTAATAAAGAAATAGTAAGAGTACTTGAAAAGGAGTTGCAGGAATGATAAAGGAGTACAGAGATACCAAAGAAAGGATTTCAACAATAATGATTCATAGAAAGGGCCGTTTGAAACAATAGAAAAGACAAAACAAGGACATAAACCTGTAAATTAAATTATAAAACATTTTACTTAAGTACTGATGAAAATTACTAGAGTTTAGATTTACAAGAGATCGTACTTTGCTCCTTTGCGATACATACCCGACAGGAGAAACTAGATCAGACTGATCTCTGACTTTGACTGGAAGATGACTCATTGCTTACAGTTTTGTAATGGTCGTTACGTAAAATGAAAATACATTACGTAATCCGTTCCTTCGCGCGTTCTGAGAGGGCGTACTTATGAAAATAATAGATTTTCTCCATGGGAAAGCCTCTATTCATGGATCAGCACGACACGACAAGAAGCAGACAATCGTTCCCTCCTTTCACGTCGAAACAAAGTCGCGACACACTTTCAATTGCCTCGTTATTAATTTCAATAAACACGATGTTTCATCAGCCACATCTTTATAACGCAACGATGCGTATGACAATAAAAATGAAAGTTTCTCGCATGAAATCACTGGATTTTTCATACGGTTAATAAATTCTGGATCCTTACCAAAACCTGCTGATACGATTTCCAAATAAGTGAGCGATGAAAATGAAATAAGGAGGAGGAGATGTTAGAGTTTACTCGATGTAACTTTGTAGGTTTAAAATGAAGGATGTTGCGCAAGATAGAGCATCGTTGAGATATGACGTGAACCATTACATTCAAGACAGATGGTTTCTTTGAAGCAAACTAGTCAGCTTTAGTCTTCAAGGTCTTGGCTACCTTGGTCACCGGACCATTTTTCTACGTGACCATGTTGATGTTTTTAATCGTAGAAATTTTTTCTTGCAACCAACAACACACGTATTATCTCGCCAAGAAACAACACGTTCGTGTGTCTACTTATTGCGTAAAAGCACCAAGCCGTTTCCTTATACAGCAACGACGCCGCAACGACTGCTGCAGCGAAAATACACTATATCATGGTAGAGCGACCTCTTTTAAAATGCACTCACGCGAAGCAAGGCTATGAGAGGATTTTTCTGCGTTCTTGTTTCTATTTTGTTTGATATCTAGAATTCTCGATATTCGTGCGTAATTTTGTGTCGGCGACTTTCGAGTGCCATAATTTTGTGAGTAATTCTCTGTTTATAAAATAGGACAATATGGACGTATAATAATAGTATTATCTTAAGTTAAATACCTGAGGCTTTTGATACATTCAGCAATTATTTCTTTTATATATGGAACGTTTAAAAACAATGCTTTTGAAATAAATAGGAAAGAAATTACTGCACTTATTACAGCCGTCAATGATTCTCTTTGAAAGTTCATTATTTCAAATAAACTACCATACCTTTCATCTTGTTCCGGTAATCGAGGGTTGAAAATGGGTTTTTGGGGATGAAATCAGTTACGAATATGGATTGAAATATTATTACCAGTTCATTCGACGTTGGTACGTTTTCCTCGTCACTCGATTGAAATTAAATCTATTGCTGAATTGCCAGGAGCAGTAGGCAGGATAGAAAACCCTGAAAAAAGAAATAGAACACCGGGGGTTTTGAATGGAGGAGCTGAGTTTGTAATCGCAGAGAATAGAGGGGCCAGGGGATCTAGTCAGAATACTATGACATTGGGGTAGGAAAATAAAGGGAGAACCGTTGGTCGTTATGGTAACCGTCGATTTACGATTTCATCTGACCGACAGCATGCTGACTAGAATAGGTGACCCACTACTCCCCAGAAAATGTGTTTTGGGTACTATGTAGACTCCCTTACGTACCAAGTATTTCAATTTCCTACTCTTTCATTAAGTTATCTTGATTAATAGGTACGTCGATTTCAACTTCGTTGAACCTTCTGTCAACTTTAAGTTAATACAATGTCCGATAGAAATACATTTCAGGGAATAGCAATTAAGTTTCATTATGTACGTCGTCCAAATGATAAATATTCTATTACAGTCACTAAGATTTTATTCCATTTCGTTGACAATTTCGTTTATCAAAATACGTTCTCCTGGGATGAATTCTAAATTGGAACACTATTCGATTCTGAAGAAATGAAATTAACTACTAAGATTTCTTTATTCGTTTGCTGTTGATCAGGGCCACCGAGCTGTCCCGACATTGGAGTTCATTGAATATTTCCCGTGGATTACGTAGTCTCCCACGAAACGTCGCTCAATTTAATTAAACGGTCTGCGTTCCCCGATGGAGCGTAAAAATCTCTGGAAGCGTCGAAACATTTCTCCCGCTTTGGGCTTCGAAGCGGTAATGATCCAATCGGGGAGTTAACACGTCCAATGTTTGCAGACGTGCTCGTTTATCGTATTATCACCAGCTAACTGGTTGGTAATTCTCGACTAGTATTTTTGTTACATGACGGAGAAACAAACGTTTCGATAATCAACTTCCTTCAAGGATAAAATAATAATACTGTACAAAGCTACATATAACTTTAAGCTTTATAAGACACTGAGAAAAAAACCCGAGAGATCTCCTGATCTGTTCACAGTAAATTAAAGATAATTTAGAACATAACCATCTGTGAAGAACTTCCATACAGAGAGTTAATACTCGTGATCGCTAATTGAGTGCAAAATGAGTTGAATTGCAAGTGAAAACGATGCTACCCGAAGGCATCCAACGTCCTAGTTTTGCTTTCTTCTTTTCTAATCTCGTTTAGACGTACCCTTTATGATCCATGGGAATAACAATTGCGAATCGAATGTCATGAAACTCTTTATCATATGTTGCCTGCATCGTCATTGTGCTAATTTTTCGTAACGCTCGCGCTAACAGCATTACTGCGAAACCTTCGCTTCACTTTTCGGGATGTGTGACACCACGACCTAAATTAGCATCCACTGGGAATGTGGGAGATACGTTCAGCGCTCTTCTCCTGGCCGTAGAATCAAAACTTTAACAGTGGGAATATATATCAATTTAGTCGAAAAGTCCACGTATTCTTCTAATGAAGTCTATAATGTTCATATTTTTATTATCTTAAGATATTATAGCCATAGGTTGTAATTATAAATTATAAGACCTTTATAAGGATATAAGAAATGTAGCTTTCATTGATGATATGCCTCGCGTGATCGAGCAATCGCTACACGTCGACATATTTTCATCGCTGTAAATTCTATAATGTTTGCGACGGACCTTACCTTGTCCTTTCATCTTTTTTAAACTAACGAAGTTACCCACCTACGATACAGAATAAAATCGACGCGAACTCGAACAGGTCTGCCAGCCTCCGGTCGATACTTGGAAGACATTTGAAAAGCTCAGCAGCTTGAAAACTCCGGAAGCACAATTCCAGCGTATTACTTTCAGTTCAGTACGGATCGTTGCCCTAGTGAAAATCACTGACCAACGATTTCACGGTTTTGACTGCTTAAAATCAAAGGTAATCCGGTGTAAGCCTGAAAGCAAAGTTTGTGTCAAAGAGGGAACTTTTAACTCGATTAGATAATTATATGTATAGCATGATTATGAGGTACATTAACTTCGTCGTTTTCAATCTTCTAACGTGAAAAATTTAATATTGAGTTTCATAAAGAGGAAAAATTACAATATATACTGATTATAAATTGAAGTCAATTCTTTCATTAAAATTGGTGAGTTGGAAACGATCGTGACGTGTATAATTCTTGGATTACCACTTCTACTGATAGACAAGCGATGCCTACAGCTCGCACAATATCCATTAGGTAAAGATAAAAAGCTGATCATCCAAAGTTCAATCGATTTCAATCGAATATATTCCTTTCCCTTGGCCTGACTTATTGATAGGAGCGCTATCATTCCTTCGACCCACCTCCCTCTTCACGTTTCTAATCCGTAAACCAGCTAGCTTGCCTTCCTGCTTTGATGGTGTTATTTTCATCCACGACGTACAGACATGAAGAGAACGAGAGAGAGAAAGAGAGAGAGAAGGAGAACGTTGGTTTTAGTAGGCCACTAGGAAACGGATGCGCAGGGCGCGGCCTTTGCCGATATACTAGTTCGCACATTTATGATCGTTAAATCAGAACTGACTTATTTCCAGCGCCACTTCTCATTTCTCCCGTTTATGGGCTTGCATACTAACTGTGGCAGAATCAGGTCCAATACCTGGACAGTTCGTGGAATATTATTCAGCGTCCTTGGAATCTGATTCCTGTGTTTCTAATATGGAATAAGGCGCAGTAGCGCCTTCGTTCAGCGGAAAGTTAGCACAGGAAGGTTGACTGAGGAACCGATATTGATCTGAGAAGTATTAAAGCGATCCTTGACAAGATAGGACTATGATGGTTTCATCATGTACGTCCTCCATTTCAAGTTAAAAACGATTGTTATAGAAAGAGCGTAAGAGGATTGTGAAATAAAAATTTCATAGACTGGAAAGGATATTCTGTCGGCGGATTTTAACAGGGAGATTTCCCTACGATTTACGACTGCAATCTGATGCTCAGCGAGGGTGAATTGTCCTGTTTCGAGCTCATCGAACTTTTAGTTTTGACACAGTGGGAGAGTCACAAGTTGAGTTGGAAAAGAATTGGTCGATTTGCGATGAACGAAAGAAGGAGGCGTCGGTGGAAAAGAAATGTCCAAATAAATGATAGGTTGTCGATTCTAACAGCAAGTTACTAATGGACAGATTCGAATAATTTCTTGTCGATATTACGTATAGCAAAATTTATCTTTATTGTGCTCGAGCAATTTATCTTCTGTTCGTATGCATGGCGCTACATTAGCCACCTGCGCTGTTTACGATTTACAGCGTCGAACCTTTCATGTAACTTTATTTCTAGCGCGTTGCATAAGACCGTTTGTCGATGCACTGGATCAAGTTCGAATTTTTGTTACGTTCCTTCTTATGATCCTCGCAGAAAAAACTTATCGTTTCATTGATGCAACTTGAAGTGAAAGCTCGTCCCGACGAAGGCTGCAGTTGATTGTGACCGTGAATATTTCGTGCCTGGAATTAGCAACGAGATGAGTAAAGAGGATATGAAACGAGCAATGAGTAAGAGGAATTAACGAATTGTGGGATGCACCGTGTCACTACGATTCAATGGAAAAACAAAGCGAGTGTGGCCAGTTAATGATAATAAAAATGAAGGAATAAAGTGGGCCGTGACACAGAATTTTCAACCGCGAACGCGACCAACGTTTCACAGAGGATGTAAAACTGCGTCGGCATAAAAGAACGACAAGGACGTTGATTATATTATTTTCAAGCCTACGGACATTTACTATTAAGCATATCTCTTCACGGTTCTAGATAATTAGCGTAGTCAATTTGCGGTGTTGTTCGAGATATACGTATTAACATATCATATCTGGTAATTTTCCAGGAAGTTCTTATTACTTGTTCTTATACCAATAAGTAAGTTCTTATACCAGTGTAAAATACTATACGTTTGTCACGTATCCACTACATAAAAATCATCAAGTAAACTACACGCTCATCGATATTCTCGAGACGTTAATTTACAACTTCCAGAGAGACGATAAAAACATTGGAAAAAGTTGCATCACAAAGTGACTCATAGTGATTCACTTTATATATTTCTGTAATGACTGGTACCAGTCGATATATGATAACATCGATTTTACGTACCTCAACGAGTTATAACGTTCGCACGAGCCGGTACACGAAGAAAGAAAACTGACGTAACTGTGGATACCACGGATGCAAAAGGGTCACGAGATCGTGACGTTTTGGTGAAAGGTTTATGCGTTAAATTCACGGACGCATCGATTAAGATCTAAGTACTACGGCCGCAGATGTCGAGAGAAGGACCTACGAAAGTTTTTTGTGGTTTGCATCTTTCGAAGGTTACAGAGATGCAGTATTTACTCTAAGATGAAGACAGACGTTGTGAAACACGTCGGAAGGAAAATAACACGACGATTCTTAGCGCGTCTTCACTTGTTATTTAGATTCCTCGGATGTCTTGAAGAAGAATTATCGTTTCGCAATGTGCTAATCATTGACACAAGCAGGAAAACGGAAAAATTTCGATCTGAAAAAAGATATGAATTTCTCACTGTATTAAATATTCATAACGACAATTCTATTCATCGAAGAAACCGTTATAACTGATAAGTAAACAGCGAACGTGCCATTATAATGGCTAACTAATAAATAGGAGCTCGATTATACGTAATACTTGGGAAGGGATGAGCGTTAATTAAAATAACATTCTTACACGTACGTTAAGTGCTTCTAAGCGTTGAAAATGGCGCAGTACCCGCTGGTCAACTGCGAGTAAATGATATCAGCAATATTAATAAGTTACCAATTAGCATAAATCTGTAATTCTGACCCTCTTCTTAGTCTAGTTGTCTGCATGCCAATATAACGTCCGGTTACCTGAGACACATTTCATTCTTCCCAATCATTATTTCTCCATTTGATTAACTTTTCAATATTGCAATTTGAAATGAGTATCGCGTAAGACTGCGTTCGGTTATACCTGTAATATTCGCAAATATTTGTACATTAGAATACCTAGTGGAGTGAGAATAATGTTATCGCTAAGGCACTAATAAGCAAGTCGAACTATGCAAATTCGAAACGTAAAACAGAAAGCGAACGTAACAAGTAAATAATACATACTTTGGAAATTGTTCTTGGTCTTTGATTTTTAAGCTAGTACTTCGAAGAAATTTTCAAGGATCAAAGTAAAAATAGTCCTCTGCAATATTCGTCAAAGCGGCTATGTACTATCAGTCTCGTTTCGACCTGGAATCAATGGACGATGAAACGAAAAAAATTACTGATCGCCGGGCATGTCGACGTCGTTGAAATAACGAGCTCGCCAATAATATCTAGTTCGTTGGTGGCTCGTGAAAGATTATTTCGTTTACCTTGGATAGTTGCCTAGAAAATAAACTGTACAGTGAATGGTATCAAAATATGTTGAAATGTAATGCAAACAAGATGGTGATATATTTCGCAGTAATAATCCAAGATGACCTATTCCAACGATGTTTACGTGAATCAGATATGCTATACGGAAGATTTGGAATATTCAAAATATTTAGAAGCGTTTTATGTCAAACAGTGTCTTAGAATAATTTAATTCTGCGATTGTGAAACTTTCCTCGATAATCAGCTGACGTCTGATCAATAGCATTCCTGTGATGACTCGCGTTAATGAATTATAAGGAACGAATTATATAGTATATTATATAATTGCAGAAACATGGCAAGCATCTCAAGTCTCTATAACGGATGAAAACAATGAATAAGAATAATCCTACGGACGTCTGGAAGTATCTGGATGGCCATGATGTTGAAATGGCCAACACCTATTACAGATATACTACCAGTGCACACGCACTTTATTACTGTTATAACATTACGTTATACACATTACATGATCATTCGTCGACAGTTATGCCTCGCTCGTCATCGTTCTAGCGCTTAATAAAACTCTTCTCTATGGATCATTGTTACAGGTGACCTTCGAAATTCCTCTAATATGTATTTGCTCTCTTACGGATTAGAGTCTTCCTTCCCCGAAGTTACAGGAATCTAATTTCTTCGCAACTTTAATTCACAATTTTAGCTCGATGTAACGTTTAACCGATCGTTTCTCTTTCCCCGATCATTCTCCGCTTCGTCATACTTGTAACATAAAACATAAGTTGAAAAGATATTGGCTTCGTGATAGACGATTCTTGTCGCGAGCCGTACACGTGTTCACAAATTCTATATTCTTGATGAATTCTTATAAATACTTGAACGATTGCCAAACTATTATTCTACTCCTTTCACGTGCCGGTTTACCTTCAAAAATACGATACGCATCACCCATTCATGGACTCGTAAAACCGTCCATCAAACACCAGTAACCGATGGCAACTATTTTTAGCAATTTCATCAAGCCACCAATGATTGAATATTTTCTTTTAGCTCTAATCATGGTTCTTGCTCAGGCCTATTAGAGAAAATGTAATTAGTATCTAACCATATATAAATGTCCAATACGTTATGTTTTCCATTGAATACATCATTGAATAGAAAATTTTGGATTTATGTGGAATATCAGGAAGTAGATTAAACTCGATCAATTTGAAATAATTAACTTGATGGATTCTGTTTCCTAAGGAACTGCGGAGGAATTTTCGGAGCTCTGGAAGATTTGACGATAAAGTGTCTTAGACCGTAGGATAGTTATTGATCGTAACCGTTATCCGATGCATTCATTAATATATTCCATTTGATCGAGATCAATGGATCATGCACCAGGGAAATTGATCTGCATGCGGTTAGTTGGGCAACACTATCGATGAAATGCTAACACTATGACCAATATTTCCGGTTGACGTCTGGTTTGAGACAGATAACACTGGTGGTAAAGTACACTGTAACAGGAGTATAAATTTCTTTTATTATTGTTCTTCATTTGCTTACGATGAATTGTAAATTATATCCAACTCTTCTTTTTTTTTATCACGTTCCCCTTTGATAAAATGACCTACCTTTACCAAGAAAAAAAAAAACAAGTCGAACGGGGTTCCGAGCAACGCAGTTGTACAAGGGTGCGATTCGAAGAAATAACCGTTGAATCGATTTTTTGGGATCATCCTGGGCAAGATAAAGCAGAGCATAACAACCTTTTCTAAGCTCACCCTTTTCAGCGTTTCCTTTTCAAGCGGATCCGGCCTTACAACTCTGAGCCGAGTACCATTTTATTCTCAACCGTCTTTCGTTTAGCGTAACAATGAACGTACGCAGTAGCTATCGTAGGATACTAAGAAGAGTATTAACTTAATTACCAGCTGGAAATTGATTGAAAATCACCGGCCAATAAATTGCGAATGAATAAATAAAGAAGAAAATAATAGATTAGACGAAATAATATTTTCAACAAGATTCTAAGAACAGACTAATGGTTCTCTTTCTTTCCCTAATTTAATTGTGAAATATTTTTTTCGATATATTCAAAGTAGAATGGTTTATAATATTTTTTACTGGATATTGACACCGAGTGTAGTATAAAAAGCACGTGATCTGTTTTCAGTGTCAAGATGAAGATATATAACGTAAACAAATGTAGATTGGATTCAGCTATTTTAAAGATAATAGAGCTTCAAAGGTCAATTAGAATAATGATTCTGCAAATATGAAGCATAATTTTGCGCTATATCAGAAATGATGTGCATGAAATTGATTTTATGACTCGTAACCAGATAGATACCGAGCAAAAAATTAATATTGTCACCAGCATTTTGGTGAATCATTGTAAACGTGCGACGCAATTAATTGTTTCGATCAATAAAAAAATTAACTTAAGGTACAATACGAACGACGTTCGCAATGACGAATACTGATTCAAACCAGGAATGTTAACAATGCATCCTCGGCACGGTTAAGTAGCCGAGCTACGTTTTGCGTGGAAATTATGGTGGGGATACCATGCTGGGTGTTCCTGTTGCACATACAATATCCACATGCATCCCTATCCACGTACGATCACACGTGTAGTGTGTACACGTGCACAGATGATCTTAGTGTGTAAATACAACGACGTCGGGTGGGGAGACGACGCCTCTCTAAGCGACGCTCCGCGTCTTCGTCAGTCAAACCGCGATCGTCTCCGCGTGATGGGCCATAGTTCAGAACGCTTAGTAGAATAGGTAGCAATGGTCGGTGGACAGTGTTGAATCAGTTAGTTGACAAAAGCAGGCCAGCCAACACAGTTGGTACGCACGGAATATTCTTCACACCGTTCCGTCGACGAGAATAGACGCTCTTCCGGATCTCTGGCGACACTTGCCGGACCACGAACACTCTTGTTCCGGGTATCAGTTTTCAACTGGTTCGTCCACTGGTCTTTGTCTCTTTCTGCCACGTGATTGGACTAAAAAAAAAAGTGAGAGCATACTGTGATAGATTGTAGAACGTAAAGTGGGCGAATAAAGTGTAAAAAAAAAATGAAGAGCTCGGCATTCTTGCTGCTCCTTGTTACCATGACCACGTGTCATGAACCGTTCCAAGTGGTCTTCCAATGGAACACGATCGACGTGATATGGCCGTCAGAAGAGAAACAAAACTATGCGACTGAACACGGTGATTACATTCCAGCTAACAATTTCATAGCTGGTGTCAAATTTTGGAAGGATAAAATGTATCTGACGGTACCAAGGTGGAAAAGCGGGGTACCAGTGACGCTGGGAGTCACTTCTGCAACCGTGGTGAACGGCAATACCGCCCCTAAGCTGGAAGCTTTCCCTAACTGGGACATGCAGGAAGTTGGAGACTGCAACGCCTTCCAGTTGGTCCAAAGTATGGAGATCGATCCAAAAGGACGTATGTGGGTACTTGATTCTGGGAAGATGTCACCTCTCTCCGTAGAAGTGAAGATCACCTGCCCACCAAGGCTGGTGATCCTGGATCTCGAGAACAACGGTGAGATTTTACGAACCTACGAGTTCCCTCCACAAGTGGCCCGTCACGGTACAGCCCATCTAAATGACATTGTCTTGGATCACGAGGATGGTGGCATGGCGTATATCACAGACAGTGATCGCGAAGATCCAGGCATAATCGTCTACTCCCTCAGTAACAATACTTCGTGGAAGGTCAGGCATGATTCTATGAAAGCTAAACCCGAAGCAGTAAGATTCATGGTCTCTAAGAACCTCATTAATATGCCTATATCTGTCGATGGGATTGCTCTGTCTCCGGCAAGTGTTGAAGACAGACAAGTATACTATTCACCACTGTCTTCCTTCCATTTGTACTCTATACCAACATCGGTGTTGAAGAGCAACCTAAGCAACGTAGATGAACACGTTAAGGAATTGGGAAAGAAAATTTCTCAAACCGATGGAATGATGATGTCAGCCAAGGGAGCGTTGTACTTTGGACTGCTGGCTGACGATGCTGTAGCTATGTGGGACACTAAACAGTCGTTCACTACTGGCCAAAGGGTGATCTCTAGAGATCATGAAAGGATGCAGTGGCCGGATACATTTGCGTTCGATGAGAATGGTAACTTTTACTGTGTCACCAATTCCTTGCAAAATATACTGACCAACCGAGTAAACACCAGCGTGCCGAACTATCGAATAGTCAGAGCGAAAACTGCAGTCAAGAGTTATCAGTATTTGGAGGACGGAACCGCACCGGAGCAGCCAGAGATACCCACTTCAGTTGCAAACAGGATTAGTCTCGCAGTTGCTACCGTATCAACCATTCTGCTTGCTTTCGTCGTAGTGTAGTAAAATCTTTCTCCCTTACTTGTTCCCTCGTTCTTTTTTCTTCGAACACAGTCGGGTATACCAAAGACATTCGTTTTATCCTTTCAGTTAAGTAATGCACAGATACCCCGTCCAGTGTTTTTGGTGACCTTGAACATTTAGAGTAATGATCGTAGGTGGTTTGGAGTCATGATAAAAAGGACAGAGACCTAAGATTACTTGACCATTCGCGATTGCCATAAGTACTTGCTCATTTTCCTTGTTTTTCTTATTACCTTCATATTTTAATTCCATAGATACTTGTATTTGAAGTATCTCTCTCTTTAAATATATCTGGAAAAATTATTATTCCAGAAGATCGTTAAATTTTTATGGGTACAATACCTATGATGAAGGAAATGGCCTTAAATGATCAATTAATTTTGCATGAAACAAAAGTTTTAATTCACAATTATGTATTATTCGCGATGGGACTTGTAAATCGGTGTTGTCAAAACGAAGCTTAAGAATCCTTCTAACCAACGAATAATTGGATCATAAGATCAAACTGCCTGTTTGCATAAAAATCTTGTAAAACGTTTCGTAGTGGCTATCGAAAGTATTGACATGCCATTTGGTATAGAGTGTACATTTTAATCTGTTAAGATATAAATACATTAAATTATACATCATTTAGTAACATTTTTATATGATTACTAAAATATTTATTTATTTATATATAATATGATACTATAAAAATCAAATGCGAAATTGGATAAAAAAACATCTCATTGGAAAATAAGGCTATGTGCAAATACTTTTCAAGACCATAGAGAAAGTCAATGTCACTTTTGATTACAATTGCTATTTTTGACATTTTCATCGAGCAAAATTGATCTCCTGCAATTCAGTTACCAACAAGCGTTTTTGCATTGTGGCCTCTGTTGCGAAGAAGAGTAATAAATCTATTTTCTTTTTTCTAACGTCGGCAACGACTTGATATTCTTACTTTTTTATACAGTATGTTATATCAGTCCACTCAATGATAAAAAAAGAGGAAGAGAGAAAATGTTTTCCTAAATTTTTCAAAACGAGGATAACTCACTCATGTTTCTCCTGCAAGAAGAGGAAGACATTAAATGAAGAACTCTAACTTCAAAGTAGCAGAACTTTCACTACATACAAACGTGATATATTAATGATTTCATCATTATTCGTTTTCTATCTTCATTAATTCAGTAGTTAATCGGGCCGTTTAATTGAATTGCTGATCGTTAACTCGGGCCGCAATAGCCGAACAAAAAGAATTACATTTTTATATGGGGCGAAACTTTCGCCGCCACACCATCGCATTCACACATAATTGACCTCGAATTAACATCATCAATGGAGACTATTAAATCTGCCAGTGAAATTAAGACGCTTCCAGTCCGATTGCATGACTTCAAAGGGAAATTGGAAGAAGTTAGCCACGTTGCGCTTGTAGGGTGTCGTGTACAGTGTTGAAAGGAAGATGAGGCATTTGTCAAGACCATGATGAAAGCCATTATCGATGAAAGTTCCGGCCGTCGAGGACTCGTCCCTTGAAAAAGAACGAAATATCAACGAGCATGAGTTTAATGGGATCATAGCTCAGCGAGATAGAAATGACAACTCGGGAACGAACAGTAGGGCAGCGATAATGAATGATCTTTTCTAGTTCGAGAAATCGATCCTCTGTAACGCGATACCGACAACATTCCACGCCTTGGGTTTTGATTGTAAGTCTCAAAGCGAATTGTGATCTAATACGACGTGTATTACATTTATAGTTTCTATTTTTTTTAACTAAATTGTTGCCGAAACAATTGTGAAGCATATTTTGATTTTCAGGCTAAACATCTCGACAGTCCATACTGCTTGATTTAATTAGAGCATCGTCAATGCGTACAATCGTTAAAAAGGACATTCGACCATACAGAAAGTTAAATATTTAGTCAAATATTTGTCGATCCTCTAATTACTTCAATCAGTTTGCGAATACAAAAGTATTAATCCCATTTTGACATATATGAACACAGAGGATTCATTTCAAGGGAAACAACCATTGATTATCAGCCCGTTACCATATTACCTTGTGTTAGTAACACGACGATAACTGCTACTAATTGTATATCTGTTATTTATATCCGTGACATAATCGTTTTAGTTGCGACAAAATTATGTACGATGAATCCTCCTATGACCTTATGTAATAGAGATGTCTATTTTTTTGATCATTTTCTTCTTTTTTTCTTCATTAGTCGATCAATGAATTTATTATAGTACTTTAGTCTCATCGCCTTATGAATTGAACTGTGAATACGTATACTATATATAAATGTATGTATGTATGTATAATTAGTGTGTACATTACACATGTAACATGTACGAGTAGCTTTAATACATATGGCCTTATTTGCGACGATGAATTGAAACTGTATACTACGTTCCGTTGGAAAATGTGACGTTATGACTCATTTGTCTGTAATCGCTGGTGAATGCAACTTTCCACCATTTCACGGCATATATTGCTTACAATTATTATAGATTCCAGTATGTTATTGAAAATTCAGATTGATTCCTCATTTGCACGAGTATCTTTAGCGCGTGAACCTGTGTACTATAAGTTAATGAATAAATAGAATAGCCCGTCGAATCGTGTACATATACTACTGATCACAAGTCTCGGACCATCTCCTTCATTATCACATTTTAAACGCACAATAAAATAAACGACACTATAGAAAATGTCTGTCTATATTCAATATTGTTAAGCTTTTGTGCATTCTATAAAATGTTTCAAGAAGAATTTTTACAAAGGCTGAATTTGTATATATTTTAATATTATAAGGCTGAATTTTTGCAAAATGACACTATCTATCAAATGATGGCCTCGAACTTCTGCTCAGTAGCTAGAGCTAGAGGCCGACTATTAAACAGATACAGAGCCAGTGTGAAATGAATCGCTCATACGGCATATCACGCGTTTGAGATCTACGTTTTCACGTGCATTTATTAATGAAAAAGAGAAAAAGAGAATATCCAATCTATCGGTGAGTATCATCGATTTAAAGTCCAACATGGTCTTTCGAAAAAAAGAAACTCGAAGAGGTTCATCAAAGGAGCATCGCGGTAATCTCACTTTCAACCTCTCTTCCCACAATTGTTTCTTCTTTCAGCACGCAGCGTCCCAGTTTTGCGGCAAAGTGAACCGCACGCACATTATTACATGCCATGAACGGAGTCGGGATCTAGCCCTGAACCACGAGTCAACGAACGCCCAGGGAGAGGCTCAGAAGATTACAAAACTGCGCTGAGAATACTCGTTGCACCTGAGATTAATCGCTTTAATCTGCTCGGATCATCGGGAGCACCTGTTTTTAGCTCCTTTCCGCGGATCGCATCTATTTTTCAATCAGCCTAAATCAGTCCAAGATGGAGATCACGAAGACTACAAGGAACAAAAGTTCCAGCAATTCTCAAGTTGTTGATGATGAGTTTTATCTTTCTAAAACATGGAAAAAAAAATTCATATATTTAAAGTTACATGGAAAATTTTAATGAGATATCATTATCAATTCTTATGTTTTGTGTTTATGTTTATAATATTTTTGAAATGTATGTAAAATAGAGATTGGAGATAATACCAGTAGAAAATCTATAGAATGAATCATGAAAGGAACGTAAAAATACCGAATGAGTGGCTTTGAAAAGATGTCACGACATTCAATTGCGTTTACAACAAATGATGTCATCGCACTATGAAAAGAATATTAAGTGTCTTTCGACTCGTAGACAGAGTTCGATGTTCAAAGTTGTTGAAGATGGTTTCCATTCGCTCGTCGGAGGATTAAGTGCTAACCGAGATGTTCAGAAAGACTGGTCGACGAAAAATTTGGCTAAAATTAAAAGCATTAGGTACCGCGTCATACCGACTACCCATATTTAAATGTCGATCATACATTCCCTCCTCGCTACAGCTACAGCAGTTGAACCATTAAATTGAATCAAACAATTCCGAATGATGAACGAATATTACACATTAAGAACTCAAGAAATATTTAACAAGTGATCGAAGAATTCAAACAAACGTTGTCTTCGTTTGTTTAAAAAGTCACGCTTATAAAACATATCCGATAGGGCTATACACTTATCATGGTGTTGTTCTTAGACAAGTAGTCGGTAACCAGTATTGAACGATATTAGAAAATATTATAAAAGATCTGTTATGAAAGATCGTAAGGTTTCGATGATCGACCAGTCTTCCGGAATTTTAATCAAGAGCGGCCTTTGCGTCGCTTTTTAACTGCGGAAACGGGTGTCGACAGTACACAGCAAGGTTCTATCGTATAGTAGATTGTAGATTTATAAGTATGCTTTCTATTACGAGAGAAGCTGGATTGAAGTTTCGTTTTGTTTCGTCGAGGGTCTCGCTCAGTTGAGCCCGATTACAGCTGACTTTCAGGCTGGAACGCTTTACGTGTGATTGTAGAATCGTTTCCTGTTTAGTCCATTCTCTTAAACCTACAAAGGAAAAGTTCACATTAGATAATCAGTAGCATGATGACAATTACGTTGATGATAATGCCCGGCTAAATGATTTTCGAGAAACGAAACGGAATGGAACGAAAGTACGTTAATTACATTATTTCGACGTCGTTCTACATATTAGTAAATCTCCGTATATTAAGAAGATTAATATATTTTCTATAGCAGTGATAGTTCTTTAATAAGTAATACGAATAATTTTTCTGCGTGAAAACACAGAAGAACGAAATTGTTTCGCGTGGATTTTGAAAATTTGTGGAATGTGTATACGGTAGCATTTATAGCAGAAAATGCTATTTTTACCAATGGAAACAATGATTGTCTCTATCCGGGTCATGGATTTTTTCAAAATCGCATGAGAGATTCGTGTGGAGGAATTTCATCTTTCACGTGGAATTGATCATTTTTGATGAAACACCCTATACATTACGTAGAATAGCGGTACAGATTCAAATAGAAAATGCACTGCCATTCATATCGATAATAATTTTATTACTGTGTGTTTTAGAAGAATGTAGTACTGCTATTGTATAGTGCTTATGTAAATTATGCCTTATTAATAAAGAGATAGATGTTAACAGTTGTCGTTATTTTCAGCCACTCTCCATTATGCGTTATATAATTGACTCATAAATAATTTCTGAATAAATACCTCATCATATTTTTGCTGCCTCTTCTTATAATAGTATTTCTAAGCTCTATTTTTAGCTGTTAATTATAATAAAGTTCCATTCATGTCAGTGTCTCAGGAAATAGAAAACTCTAGGAAACATGTCTGATGCCAGATATCAGCAATAAAATTTCAAATGAAATTATGACGTAAACGAAATTTTGGACATATAGATGATGCTACATCATAAGGTATTGTATCGCTTTTATGTTACTCTTAGCTTGAAACGGAAGTTATATTTGATATATACCTGATTGATTACACATTAATTTAGATAAATAAATATAAATATATATATAGTACATATGTACTTAAAAATATAGAACAATTTCAAACTTCAGTTCTGTTCAATTCTGTTAGAGCGCTAGATGTTTTCTAAGTATCTTAATAGATGACTCTGAGTACTCTGTTTTATCTGACTCGGCACAGTCGATAATAGCAGATACAATTTGTAAAATCGGATTAATGAAATCTTCAATAGTTCACGAAAACATACACATAGGCATAGATAAATATAGAAAAAAATAGAATAAATAAATACCTAGTACTAAACTGATTTATTTATTATGCAAATCTTCTTCTAAAAATTCTAACATGTTACTCTAGTGACATGTTTAGTGAGAAATTTTGCAAAAAATCATGATGCAAAATCTTTATATACATATATATTGAAATGAAATTATATCCTTTGAAGAAGTAATCACAAGAGTGTACAGAATCATTGATCCTTGTTGAGGTTAGGAGATTAGAGTCTAATCGAAATTTAATCTGATTGATACACCATCGTTGATAGACAATGAAGCTGTAGAATAGCATTAAATCTGGATGGGTCACGCAACGAAGGAATTATCAGTTAGCGGTCTTGCTTTTGCGAGCTACCGGGAATGCGATTCCAAAGGGATGTATGTATGCAATGTATGTATACCATGCGCAGCTGTTACTTTAGGGTAAGAGGGGTTAGGAAAGCAGGGACTTCAGGGACGTATACAGTTTCTTGCAGTTCCTTCAAAAAGAATTACAAGAACACAAAAGGATTTTCTACAAATCCTGATTCTCATATAAATATTCAAATTAAATTAAATTTAAGAAATATAATCAAAGTTTAAGAAAAACATAGCAGGAAAAGGTGATTTTACAATTTTTTCTAGACTCCACTTTTTTATTTATCTTGATGAAAATATGAATTTGTATAAATATCCTACTTATAAATAAAATCGTACCTTTTATAAACTTTAAGGTCTGGCAAGCCCCTGCCATCAAAAGTACTGAAGAATAGAATTCTATACAACTCTTATCTAAATGTCATCTAAATGTTTATATATATTATTATCTACAATAAAAAATACATAATGTATTTACACGATATTTGTTTACTTACATTTAGTCTATATTTACTTCATTTATTACCATATCTCTGCACATCAATCTCTGCTTTGTGAAACACGTAACAAAAACAATCGTTTAAACTTACGAATGAATCAATTTGAAAAAGGAGATGCCAATAGCCAATCACAAATTACTACGTAAATCTACATGAACCGTTTCTTGGCAGAAGTCTGTTATTCCGATATCCGACCGTTCTTGATTTCGATTCTCGAAATCACGCGCGATCCACCAATTACATACCGCGTTATAAATCAGTCAACCTCATCACGAAATCTCATTCGACATCCCCATAAATTTCCGATTTAACCTTTAACAAATATTTGTAACACATTCCATTTCCTCGTGATTTCCTTATTAAACAGTAGAAACTGACGGAAAAATTAAAGAACCCGTGGCACCCAGAAGAAGCTCGTCCCTGACAACGTTCTATGACTGGCGGTGGGGGTAAAGAGGGGCTGGCTTGTACCGGCGGCGCCTGCAGTGACCGGCTGGTGTCTGTGAGCACCCGGGTGTCAAAAACGTGGGTACGGAGACTCGTAAGATTCTAAGTGTTACTTTTCTATAAAAAAAAAAGTCTCAACGTTTCAATATTAGTGATTCGCCTGTTTTTCGGTATTATAAAAAATTATCGTGTTTATTTCGATTTCAGTCGGTGGCACGCGTTTGTATCTCGATCCCTGACTCTGCTCTTCTCCTGGGCCGTCTGCCTCTAGCAAGATCAGGAGACAGATCGGTGTCGTAGTGTGACAGCGATCGACTGGCTACGATACTGCTACACGAGCAACCCTTGCGCTCTTTTTTTCCAAGGCTCACGCGGTTTTCCATGTCAACGACACGCGCGCTCCTGCCAAGGCCAGCGTGCTACGCCCCGCACAGAGTAGGCTCCGTCGTCTTCGTCGTCATCGTCGTCGCCGCTGCTGCTGCCGCCGTCAATCGACAGCTCCACGTAGTTCTGCCCGTCCTCGACGGCCTGCTGCTGTCTGCTGCGCCGCGTCAGTGGTTAGACTTCTTTAGTTCATCGTCGTGGTCGCCGTCGCGGTGGTGGTTAGCTTGGAAAAAGGCCGGCGAACTAGCGAGTTTCTGTACGCTTATTACCAGGGTGAAGAAAAGGAGACACTGCAGCGTCGCTCACGCCAGCCTGAGATGAGCGACCATGGCTGCATACACTTGAATAATTTCAAAGCAGCCAAGGGTATCCAGCCATACAAAGTGATACACTCCTATTTTGTGACCAGCACGTCGACCGAGGCACGCGTAAGAAAGGTGCGACTATCTTTTTCTTACGTGATTCGTGGTCAAGGTTCTGTCTTTGTTTTCCTTACTCTCTTTCTGTCTTTCGTTTTCACCTATGCTTTCTATGTTTCTCATCTGTTTCTCATTTTCCATAATTCATCTATAGTTTGTTTATTTGATACGTGATCAAAAAATGATGTGGAAAATGAGAAATTAGTGGGACCTTTACGATGTTGCGAGGAGCGACAGCATTCTCTTTCTTTGTCGCTTGCAATGCCACTCGCGATCTTAAGTCATGGACTATGCAAATACTAAACAGAGTGACAACCCAATGTGCAAATCGGTGCATATTGTTTTTATTGAACTTCGAAAACGATGTTTCTATTTTCAAGCATTTGCGGATATGGGATGTCTGTTCACTAATTTGATCTTTTATTATAACTTTTGTTTGAAAATTATTCTTCGTCTTCCATTTTGATATATCATTTTTTATTTGTTCCTTGTTAATCAACTTATCAAGTATATAATAATAATTATTTGAAAATTCCTTTCTTCTTTCCTTTCTCTCTCTTCCCTTTAGTCTTTTATTATCATTTTTTATAAGATAGTTTTGTACTCCAAAGCGAAATAGTTTGTTTGGAAAATGACTGTCAATTTAAAGTAATTTTTGGAAAAATAGTGTATTAGAAAAACTAAATGAAATTGTTTGTATAAGTTTGTGTAAACGAAGATAGAAAACGTAGTATTTGTATTATATTACTCTCATGGACGGTTTCTGTAAAGATGGATTTAAAAATGGCCGCCGTATAGAATTACTCTGTCGGTATAAAGCTCTAGCACATTTGCTACTCACGTAAAGTAACGGTACATAGATTTATGATTGTACTGGTACCGTAGGGTTAATGAATATTTGCATCGGCTTGTAGCCCGATGTAATCATAATGATGTTTTATTAAATAAACTTTAGCATCGTATCTGATATTTCTTTCCTGGAACAATACTTTTATCTAATCTGTATAAGAAGCTTGAGTAATATATTTTTCATCTTTCTTGTCTGATACAGTAAATAAATGATTTCTATATTTTTAGGCTGTTAGTTGTTTATGTCACACATGTAAGACATATAAAGATCGCCTACATTCTTGTCTTCATTGTATATTCTTTGGCTGCTATGTAAAAGGTCATATACAAGAACATGCAAAGACGAAAAAGCATTTTTTAGGTAATTATACATAGATTGTATAGGTAATTGTATATAGAATAGGGTAATCTGTTCAACAAATATTTTTATTATATATTTTACTTTATGTTGCAGCTGTTGATCTTTGTTATGGAAATATCTTGTGCTTCCAATGTGGGGATTATGTATATGATAGGGAGCTATTAGCAGTTGCTAAAGCACAGTGGAGTGAATCTGCAAAGTCATTGAGCTTTGGAGAATTTTATAGATCATGGGAACCAACACAGATAGAGGCAGAATTATTGAGAAAACATCCACGCAGAAGGCGCGTGGTCGAAAATTCTACCATAGGTAAGATGTGCAAATATACATCAAATGTAATGTATATTAATTAATACTGTACGTTTGTAGGTTTAAGAGGACTTATAAATCTTGGAAGTACATGTTTCATGAACTGCATAGTACAAGCTCTCATACACACACCACTGTTGAGAGATTACTTTCTTGCTGACCGGCATCACTGTCCACAGCCAACACGTTGCCTGGTCTGTGAAGTATCCCATCTTTTTCAGGAATTTTACTCGGGTAGCAAAGCACCGCTGACACTTCATAAGCTTCTCCATTTGATCTGGACACATGCTAGACATTTAGCAGGTTATGAACAGCAGGATGCCCATGAATTCTTTATAGCCACGCTCGATGTTCTACATAGGCATTGTGAAGCAGCACCCATCTTAGTAAAGGATAATCCACATCACTGTAACTGTATCATTGATCAAATCTTTACTGGTGGACTTCAGAGTGATGTGGTTTGTCAGGCGTGCAAGTACGATTGAAATGCATAGTGCGATTTTAATGTCTTGCATTGTGTAAGAATCTGTATTGATGTAATAATTTTTTAGTGGAGTGTCTACTACGATAGATCCATTCTGGGACATATCTTTGGATTTGGGTCCAGCGGCTAGCGCATCAGGTTCCGATAGTTCTGGCCCTCCTACCTCGTTATTAGATTGTTTGGAAAGGTTCACGCGGGCCGAACATTTGGGATCTAGCGCAAAAATAAAGTGTAGCAATTGTCAGACGTATCAAGAGAGTACCAAGCAATTGACTATG